TAAAATTAAAATGTGTTTTGATAGCAGACATGACACATTTGTATGTGGTAAGAGAAAGGGGGAAATAACTGAAGTAGATTTCTTAAAAAGTCATTAAAAGTTAAAGCAACAAAATTATTTTGCATTTATATGTAAATGAAGTTAGGTTCCAAATTTGGATTATTGCAAACAAGATGTCCCATCTCTGTGATTTTCCATGAAAGAACATGTTTTAAAAAATCGTGAAACAAGTTGTGAAACTTCCATTGTTGTGTGACATTATTCTATGATTGCAAGGCATCTAGCACTTCTACTTCCTTCCCAATAAATACTGATAATTCTCTGTGCTTCATTGTGACAGCTGAGATTGTCCTCATCCTTTTATGTAATGCCTACATGAAGACAGTAATGCCACTCCTAGTCTCCGTCTCTGTCCTCTCCTTTTCTGCATCTTTGCAACCTCTTCCTCATCCTTCAGGACTATAAGCTTCTTCAGACATACTTTACTGAGCCCCCAGTTTTGTCCTAGTTGCTCATTTCCTGCATGTCCAAATCCACCAAGCATATGACCTTATAGTTGCTAGTGAGTCTCTATCTACCTATTAGATTCTAAATTCTCTGAGGTAAGAAGTATCTGCCTTTTCATCTGCAATGCTTAGCATGTTTCCAGGCTCAAAGTTAAAAAAGTAGTTGAATAAATGGATAGAGGGAAATATAGAAGAGAGAAAACAAGCCCATAAAATGGATTATAGATAAGCCTCTGACTTTTTGTGTTTAGAGTAGTACACAGAAGCAAATAAAAAGAGGCTGTACTTATATGACATTTGTACATTTTTGGTTGACACATGTCTTCGCCCCAAGGCTGTGGCTGAAGTACCAAATCCAGTCTTTTCCTGTTCTTAAACCCTCAGCTGTACCCCACTCTTCTCATGCCTCCTGCATCCCTCTCCAGTAACCAGCACTCCCTCTCCACACGCACATACACCCTGCCCTTTCTTTCTGAAGAGCAAGGAATTCTGGGCGTAGTATATGGCTGACTCTGAATGTTACCATAAGGAAAGATAGGTTAAAAAAAGCAATTTACTGTGAGAAGTTTGCTGTCTTTGGTTTCTGTGTCTGTTCTTTCTGCTACAGATGCTTGTAGCATAAATGAACATGGACCTGCCCTTTCTCTGTTACTGACTAGTCTGTGAATGTCTATGTCTAAGTGCAGCATACTTTTATCAAGTTTTTTTTTTGGTACATTTTAGATATACATAGTGGCCATCACAACAAAATTTATGACCATGTATAGCTGTCATTAATGATTTCATGTTTAAGTTGTGTCATAGTTGTGGGTCACCAATCATGATTGTCTCCTTTTTAAGTTATTTTAATATTTCAAAATGGATTAACTTAATGACTCTTTAAACAAATGTGATTAAATATTGCCTCTAACTGCTCATATTATAAATTTGGGGAGACTTAAAGTCTTGGGATGATATAAAGTAGAGAATTTGAGTAAATCTTGTTTTTTCTTTAAAGCTTAAATTTTGAATTTGATGTTGGGATTACATGTTGTGTGAATAACAAAGATGATTGAGAATAAGAGCAGTGAAAGTTGTAGCTGTACTTTTTAATTGTACTTTTTGTTCATTATCCTCAATTTTCTCCTTGGTCTTGGCAGATCACTAAACTTAAACTAAATTGAGTTTTCAGAATTTTTTGCCTACTTCCTATCTTGATGGATGAGCCAACCAGTATTTATTTTTAGGAAGACTATACCATCTAGGATAAATGAAAATCTAGGAGTGATCTTCTCTACTCTTACTACTATTTGGCTGTCAGTGGTGAATTGTAGTGAATATTTTCGATTTTTATTTAACCTCAGCTTTCTTGTTTTTGTTAAGAAGTGAGAGGAATGAAGATAGGTTCATCTTGAATTCAAACACAGCTTTAACATTATAGGCAATGAAATAACCACATACAAACTCAACATAGTGTAAATCTGAGCAGATTAAGTTGATGTCTTCTGTAGTAGTGTTTCCAATATTAAAGAAGCATGTTTGTACCTAGGATCATTTTCTCCCTGAATGGGTGCAGCTATGTGGTACTGTATTTGTTTGCATTTGAAAAGTTTCTTTCCAAATGATTAGTCCAAACTAATCAGAACAACTTAGATTTATTGCATGCTGTAGCATTATAGAACTTTTTTTGTGTAACTCCATTGTGCTGTGTTATTGCCAAAACATGGTCCTGTAGTGAGGGCCATAAAATTTTGCTGAAAGCTAGTGTCTATTAGCCAAAACATGGGCAATTTTACTCTTGGGAGGTTTATCATTGAATTGATCAGAAACAGTTGCAGAAATTTTTCAAGTGATGTGGTCGTATTATGTTCCTATCAGTTTAACTGTTTAAAACAGTGTGGGCCTTGAACAGGCTTTATCAACAGGAAGGAGTATGGTCCCAGATGTGTATTTATTTATATTCTTTGTACAGCATTCCATGGATACTGGCATAGAAGCCAAACTGGCTTTGTAATCTCTGTGTGTGTGTGTGTGTGTGTGTGTGTGTGTGTGTGATCCTTTAGGAAGATTCACTTGTGATATATCTATAGGCATACATGAGGGATGAGGTCTTTACCTCCCCTTCCTTTACTTTCTCTTTTTCTTTTTCTCTTTTTTAAAAAATTTTCTTCATAGACAGATTTTACTCAGTTTATTTTTTTAAAAATGTGAGATTAATTATAGAGAATCATTCTTGCTTTGTCTACTTTATGTTTTAAACATTATAAGGCTCCACTGACTTCTGTTATTTCCTTTTTTTGTTTCTCTCCTCTTTTTCCTGTGCAAGCACTCCTATTTGGACAGGGAAACATCCCTTCTTCTGAGAAACATTGCAGGAAAGCCTTCCCATTTGCTGACCAAGGTGACACTACTGCTTTCTTCATGCATGTAACTGTTGACTGCCTTGTAGGTGGAATATAGTTTCTGTTTTTGATTGTACTCTCATGTTATTGCTTTGTCATTTTATACCTTTGTCCTTAATAGAAGTTATTTTTTATCTTACTGAAGGTAATAGCCTATCTGATCTTAATGACTATCAGATAATACTGAAGAGTAGCAAATATTTTCAGGAATTTCCACAAGTTTTTAAATTTCTATAAATGCCTAGTTTTCTCAAGTATGTTGTAATTTTTCAATTTTGTATTATATCTTAAAGTATAAAAATATTGCTTACATATATTTTTACTCTCATGGTTATCCATACTGTGAGTTTCTGTAGTACATTTTATAATTTGTTTGTATTGACTTTATTGACTTATAGAAAGAAAATCTTCACTTACGTTGACTTAGATTGGAAAAGAAGGCTGCAATAACCCAGTTCTCTGTCCTCAGAATGTTTTGAATCAGTCCAGCTAGATTTTCTTTGAGGTGGTATTTATAACAATTATAAATTGTTAGCAATTATCATTAGCCAGGAAAAAATATTAAGAGTCAAGAAGCTAAACACCTTTCTGCCTATTTTCAAATCATGACCTTATTTCTTTATCTTATTTAAAATGTTATATTGTTAATTCAAGAATATCAGACCTGGGGGCTGGCCAAATAGCTCAACGGATTAAAGCACCTACAAGCAGGCTCAAGGGTCTGCCGTGCTGGCCCTGCCCCTGGGGCATGCTGAAACAAAGTGGTGGTCTGTGCCTGTAATTCCAGCTCTTGGGAGACTGTGAACAGGTGGATCACTATGAGTATGATCTAGTAGTGAGACCCTGAACAACCTGTACACCCTTCCCTAAAATACAAAAAAAAAAAAAAAAAAAGAATGTCAGCCTTGCTAATAGTTTCTGAAGAATTTCTATAGTAGTTTTGAATAATGTCTCTTAAGTTTTATCTGAAGGTTTTTTGTTGTTTGTGTTGTTCATTTCTTGCTAACCTGTTAAACTTATGGAGGATTATAGGTTAAAAAAAACTGCCCAAGAAGTAGCTCAAAGAAAAGACCCTTTGGAAGGGCAAGCAAGGGGCCCTTTCTCTTGACCAGGTTTCTCTTTATGGTAGGTCTGTGAATAGAGATAGAAGCATAAAGACCAGGCAAAAGGAGACATTTAAGTGGAGTGTAGCCATACTTTATAACCAGAGCAAGGATTTTCTTCCTCAGTGCTTTTTTTTCCTGTTTACTATCTGATCTTGGAACCTGCACTCATAGTTTCAGGTAGGTCTCTGTGGTAGATCAGCTCTTCCCCTTGAGAGCATCTCATTTCCAGAGAGCTGCAAGGGTTGCTGGGAAAGCACCAACATCTACTAGCACCTATATCTCACAGGTGTTGTAGCCGCCGTGCCCATCTTCTCCCCAGGGCCCCACAATTCATACTCATCTTATTTTGCTTAGAATACTACCACTTTCCCAGAGACCCAGGGTCTCGTGGTAGCCAGCTGATTGTCATTGGCGCCTTTCTTCTCTCAAATCTAGAATGAAGCATGGCAAAGCCCTCTAGGGGTTTAGTGCATTTGCACATCCATCTCATGCTTATTGAGCTCATCCTTGTAATAGGCTCTTATATCTTGTCAGAACTGCTGCAGTTGTGTCTTTATCTTTACTTGTCCCTCCTCTAGTCTATTTTTGTAAGTTCTCAAATGTTTATCATTCTGTTACTTATTTAATATTTACTGATCCATGTACTATGCTGGGTGCTGGTATTCAACACTGTATAAAGTGAACATTTTATTCTCTACCCTTAGGAGCTCACAGCCTATGGATTTAATAATAAGTATGTAAAGAAAAATCTATACTATTGAATGCTATGAAAAAAAAGGTAAAGAAGTATAGAACTGAGAAAAGAATTAGGGCTCCATTTAAATTAGATGGTAAGATCAGAAAGGACTCTTCTAAGTGGATGACATTTTCAGCTATAAATTTAAGGATGAAAAGACGCTAGTCTGGAAGAAGGGATTGTACTATGTAGATAGGCCAAGGGACATGAGCGTGGTGTGAGTGAGAAGCTGAAGGATCATGTTGCTAGAGCTACCATAGTGAAATGAAAAGTACAAGTGTCTTGATTTGGATTTGGGGAGAAAAGTAGGAGCCAGATCATTCAAGCCACACTAAGGCTTTTACGTTTCTCACCAGATGTACTGGGAAACTATTGAAAAGAATGACTTCATTCACCCAACAGATAATTTACTGTCCTCTTTGTGCCAGTGTTTTTAGCTATGCAGATATGGCAGTGAACAAAATAGAGTTCCTCCCATAGGAAGAGTTGTTTTTAACAAGTTTTGGAGTAAATGGGCTTAGTAACTTCTCATATCCTTCTGCCCAGAGACAGTCATACTGACTGCAGTATTAGACCATTTCTGTCCACATCTTATCTTCTCCCATTGCCCAGCTGGTAGCATTGGTATATTTTGCTGACATCTGGTTCTAGTTCCCTTCTGTAAACCACCTTGCTTTTTTGCAGCAAGAGATTTTAGCAAGGATGTCACTCAGTAACACAGAACCTGAACCTGAGCAGGTAGAGTGGTTTTGGGAGGGAGTCCTACAAGAGGTAACAGAAATTCCTAGACAGCCCAAGCTACTGGCCTCTCAGATGAGCCTTAATCTTGGTACTACTGTCAGTGCCCTCTTTACCAGATCACCTAGCAGTTTTCAAACTGAATTAAGGATGTTGTGCAGGAGATCAAACCAGGTCCTTGCACATGTTTAGCATGTGCTCCCCATTGAGCTACACCTCAGCCCCACCTGTGTGGCAACCTGGTTCTCCCTACAGATACCCTGGTGTACCAATTTCTGACTTCCTCTTCTGAGTTGTTTGAGAATGCTCAAAAGTTTGCAACCATTTTCTTTGCTTCTTTATTAATATTACTGAATGTCTTTTTTAACGAGCAATTTTTAATTTACTAATATCTGAAAGCTTAAGCTATAAGTAACCCTTACAATAGGAACTGTACCGTTATGGTGGAAGGAATAAGTAGCCAGCTGATAACTACAGTACCTGTTTGATCTTGGGAAGCTAACAGTCTTCCTGAACTTTTCATTGGTAATTGGTACAATGAATATACTAATAATAGTGGCCTTGGAGGGTTGCTGGTTAACTCAGTTGTTTAAGCGCCCACATGAGCAAATCCTGTCAGGCTTGCAGGACCGTGGTTCAATCCCCAGCTCCACATGCCACACCACGCCTGCATCTAATCAGCCTGAGCCAGTCAAAAAAAAAAAAAAAAAAACACCTTCTCAACTTAGGGCCAGGGAGATAGCTCAGTGGAATAAGTGCTTGACTGGCAAGCACAAGGTTATGAGTTTGATCCCTGGTACCACCAAAAAATAAAAAAAAAAATAGTGGCCTTGTACTTTTTGTTGAGGTTTAAATTGGATACGTATGCAACAAGCATGATAATATGGCAAGTTGTAGGTTTTCAGTTAATGTTGGTTTTATTCTTAGTCTGCTGATTTCATTATTTCTTCAGAGAAAATAAGCTGTCACTATTATATTGGTTCTAAGCAGTCTTATAGAATATTTAATGGGCATTAAATTGTATCACTCCCAAATTCTCTTTGAATTATTAGCATAACTTTTTAATTGTAATCTGTCAAACTACATTCCAAAGAATTTGTCTAGCCCCTTAATTTCAGTTGGGTTTGTTTTTAACCGATAAGGCCTTTAATTTCTGAGTTGAAGGAATTCACTCTTTCTGTAGCTATGACCCTCTTTACTTGTGTGTTCTAATTCTTAGCACACAGAGAACTTTCTAACACTTTTAACCCACAGTATTGGTTTTCACTTAATCATAAGATCTTCACCAAGTGTTTCTCTTTTATGTAAATTTGAGGAGGCTTGGCATTTGATGGTTACTGATAGCCACTCAGTGTTAGAAAATGGGCTGTCTGTGGCTCTTTTAAGCAAAGGATAGGAGAGAAAGTTGTTTTTATATGTGTGAAGTATCTTTCACTTAGTTTAGTTGTGAGACAGTGTAGTGAAAAGGGTAGTCAAAAGATGAGGGGCACACAAGGAACTTGCTCATTATATATAATATAAACATGAAATTTAAGACCTGAGTTTGTCTAAGATGAAGAAAACTTTTTCCTTTGTATTGCTCATTGAACACAGATTTTTGCATTGCCTTATAAGCTTCGAGAGAATTTTAAATATATCATCTAAACACATTAACAGAGATTTATTGTTCTTTCCTGTAGTCTGACATTAAGATCTTTAAAAAAAAATTTTTTTTAATGTATTCGGTACAGGGTCTCACTGTACAGCTTGGACTCGTAGTGGTCCTCTTGTTTGCAGCCTCCCTGGCACTGGGATTACTGGTGTGTGTCACCACACCTGGTCTCTGTGGCCAGCACAGTGCACCTGGGGGCCGGGATGGCTTGGCATGTGATGCCAAGGTCTGAACCTAAGCAGGCACTTAGTCTGCTGAGCTGTCTTGCTGGCCCTTAACATTAAGATCTTAAGACAGTTTCTTTTTTTTTTTTTTTTTTAAATAAACTATGATTAATTATTTGGACTTAACAATAGTAGATAACAAATAGAATTCACAGAAAAGGAGTTTATCATTCTTAGGAAGCATAAAATATTATAAAATTTTCACTTTGACATATTTCAGTTTTGTTCCAGTAATGATATTCAAAGAAACAACTAGCTTTTAAATTTGAATTTCAGGGTCCTTACCTAAACTGACTTACGTAGCTACTGCAGAATAGTATTTGAACACATGGAAGAATAGCTGAATTTGGACTTGTTAACATAGTTCCATGTAGTGTGCTTTACATAAAAATGCTTTGAGGGGCTGAGGAGATAGCTCAGTGGTCTAAGTACCTGCCTGGCAAGGGCAAGGACCCAAGTTTGATCCCCTGTATCACATGCCATGCCAGTGTGGAACATAAGCCAGGCAGGCCCCAAAACCTGGCATGGTCTTGTATGCCTATAAATCCCAATGCTGGGGAGGCTGAGACAAGAGAATCACTATAAGTCTGAACTGCATAGAGAGACCCTGTATCAAATAGTAAATAAATTTTAAAAAATTAAATTTAAAAAATGCTTTGATATTGATGGCTAGGAAACCTAATTGATTTATTATATTTTTTTCAGCTTAATTGTATGTTAATTGATTATACACAATCTCTTGTTTAACCCTTACTTCCATAATTAAAAACTTTGCTGCAAGTACAAAAGTAAAATAGGGGCATGCAGATACTTTGTATTTATAACTAATATCAGAATGTAGAATATAAACATACATATTTTATTTTATTTTTCTGTATTTAGGGCAGGGTCTACAGGGTCTCACCAGTAGATCAGACTCACAGTGATTCTCCTGTTTACAGCCTCCTGAGTGCTGGGATTACAGGCACATGCCACCATGCCTCAGGGGCAGGGCAGCACGGCAGGCCAGGGATCAAACCTTGGCTGCTGCACTTGGCCTAAAGCAGGCACTGTAGTCCACTGAGCTATCAGGTTGGCCCTTGACACATATATGTATTTTAGATAGACTTTATTTTTAGGCAAGCTTCAGGTTCTGACATGTGTCCACCACTATAAATGTCTGACACAGTAATTTGAGCTCCCTGAAAATCCTCTGTGTCCTGCCTGTTGACTCCTGTTCAACCCCTGGCAACCATTGATCATTCATTCATTCATTCATTCATGCATGTGGAACAGGATCTCGCTGTGCTGCTTGGACTCATAGTGATCTTCTGTTTTCAGCCTCCCCAGCACTGGGATTACAGGCATGTGCCACTATGCCTGGTCTTGGTGGCCAGCTCAGTGTGCCCAGGGACGGGGCCATTGTGGCTTGTGGTGGTGGGGATCAAACCCTGGTCCCTGTGCTTAGTCCACTGAGCTATACCTGATCTTTTTATTGTCTCCATAATTTTAACTTTTCCAGAGTGTAGTAGTTAGAAGTACAGTTTGTAGCTTTTCTAGATTGGCTTCTTTCATTTGCTAATACTGTTGAAGATTTCTCTGTGCCTTTGGTAACTTGATAGCTTCTTTTTAGCGCCATAATTCTATTGTCAGGATGCACCATAGTTTATCTGCTCAAATCTGCTCAGTTAATGGAGGACATCTTTGCTGTTTCCAAGTTTTGGCAATTATGATGATTTATTCATATGCTTCTATAAACACCGATTTATGGGTTTTGTGTTTTCCAAAATGGCAGTACCATTTTTATTCTCAGTTTTTAACTTACTTTCTTGAATATCCCTTACTTTTTGTTAACTGTTTTCAACTCTGAGAACATCTTCTGAACCTTATTTTCGTGTCTGTCAATTAATTATGACATTGTTAAGAAACTTAATTATTTAGAAGTTCATATTTGTATTACAAAAACATAAAGCATTGATTCCATGCTGGTTTTTCCTCATCTGAATGAAATGCCTTGATAATTTTTCTTTTACTGCAATAGCCATTTATACCAATATAAGGATGAGACATTGGAAAATGCTTTCCAGGAACTTCTATAAAATCAGTTTCTTGACAGTTTTAAATATTTCATACCCATACTGTACTCCTCAAAATACATTCATGGTTTGGCAATTTACCTAATAATGAATTTCTCTTAGACTCAATTCTAGAGACTTAAGAGTTTTATTGATTTTTCTTTAATAGCCTACTTTTAAAAGAAAAAATGTTAAAATGACAATTATTTTATAATTCTGTTTATTTGTTGAAAGAGTAAGGGAAGAAGAAAATTCAGTCTTTAAATCAGGAGACTATATCTGTTATAGTAGAGAACCAAGTCTTTTCTTACTCCTGTCCATTGTTAAAATAAAGTTCTTTGTTGTCTGCCTAATTCAGTTTACAGATAGTATTTCCAGGCCTTGGTTATTATGTTAATTCACTGATTTCTTTCATTGAAAGGGATCAGATTTCTGGCAAGCGGGCTTGCTGCCTCCCTTACCACTGTTTCTCTGTTCCACAGAGTAGTAAATACTAAGCTAGAAATGAAGAAAGACAGCTGAGAATATGAAATGGAAAGAGAAGCAATTCGTAAATAACCGATAAATTTAGGTGAATGGGGGTAAATCTGTTAATTTTTTGCCCTGGAAGTTTTAGCTTTTAATGAAGAATGAATGGCACATGGATTATGGTTTTTAAGTACAATTCAGAGAAGATAAAGTGACTGGTATAATTAGGTTTTTCCTTTTTTAAAAATACGTATTAAAGCAATCAAAAGCTTAGGAATAGAAAATAGTCTTTTATTAGCAAAAGTCTATTTATGTAAGTTTTTTTTTTCTTCAACTGAAGAGTAATGCTACAGTAGATTATGGCCTATTGCTGGAAATTACAAGTAAGTGCTGTTCTGATGTATGCTGAAACATCCTGGTGTATACCTCTCTCTGGTGATTAGTGTATGCTGTCTTAGAGAAAAATAGCCAAATGGCTTTAGTTCTTTTTAATTTTTATTACTGTGTATAAACTAGCTTTTTTGAAGTAGAAGTTCCTAAACTTTAAGTGACTTAGAAAGTTATATTTAACATTTTAAAAGATCTTATTAATGAAGCAATAGAAATGAATCCAAATTTACTGGCATGATTGTATTTATAAATTTCTAAAGCAAAGTAAAACTATATGGCAGCTTCCTTTGTATTAATACATTAATGAGGCTACATTTTTTAATAAAGAGTTTTTAATAAGGATTATGGATAAATAGATCATTGATAAGTAACTTTTGCTGTAGATTTTTTGTACATTTTCTATATAATCAAAACATGAATATGCAAAAGCTTATTCTGTACTTTGGAGGGAGTGTAAGTTGAGGCTGTATAAAAATAAATTGACAGGGATGGCCATGTAGATGTTGTCCACTTTCTATTGACAAAATCAAATTTACTAATTTACCATGCCAGATTTTTCCCCTCTGGAATGTGAAATCTAATCTTACTAAAAGACATTTTAAAGATTTCCCCCCTTTTAACAATATGTCTGTGTTCATATTATAAGCAAGGCTTTTTTAAAATGTGCTCTAAGTGTATGATTAAAGAGTACAGAGGACTTCTTTACATATTCTCATCATTTTAGCAGTAGTTTATCTAAAGTGCTTTGTGTTCACAGGAAGAACAGGCAGCAAAATTGAAAGCTGAGAAGATCAGAATTGCCCTGGAGAAAATTAAAGAGGCACAAGTGAAAAAGGTGATGCATGAACATTTGCCTGATTGGGATTTTTATCCATTTTCTGGACTTAGAAAAACTTGCCTTGTTTATTTATTATTTCTCTCATTTATGGAGTGGTAGACAAGGACTTCATTCTGATAATGTGTTTTTCACAGGTACATTTTTTGTGTAAAAAAAGAACTTATTCTAAAATCTAGAAGAGTAAAGAATAATCTTAACATAAGACTCTTTACCTGTTATCTTTTTTAAAGGCTTTAAATTTATTTAGGTAGGTTACTTGATGTACAGTTTTTTAGTTTTTCTCACATAAAAAAGTAATATTTGTATTTTAATTTATGCTTAGACACTAAGTAGTATATTCAAGTCCTTTCCAAGATGCCAAGTTTTGGTTTTCATTGAATGTTATTTTTACCTGTTATAGTTGGTGATTAGAGTCCACATGTCTGACGACAGTTCTAAAACAATGATGGTGGATGAGAGGCAGACAGTGAGACAAGTGCTGGATAACCTGATGGACAAGTCCCACTGTGGCTATAGTTTAGACTGGTCGCTGGTGGAAACCATTTCTGAGTTACAAATGGGTTAGTAATGTACATTGCTTTAATTGCTTTTATACTTCTATGTAATCCCTACAGCTTTCATGTTATAGAAGCATTTTGAGGCTTTTTTTTTTTTCCTTTTCCTGCAAAACTACCAAGGAGTTTACCTCAAGTATTTTGAGAGTTCTTTAATATCTTTTCCACAGCTATGTGGTACCAATACCTCTGCACTACCATTTAACTCTAAAGGATACAACAGCAACAAATTTTTAAAAACCACTATCTAGATTATGTTCTTTAACAGGAGGTCAATTTAAGAGTGGACAGAAAAGAACTAGTCTAAAGAATGATGTGCTGGAGGTCAGAAGACTTAGATTCTAGTCCTAACTCTTCTGTCATTGGTGTAACCTCCGTTAACTTGCTTCACATCACATGTAGGGCATGTCTCCTTGTTTGTGACATGTAGACCAACATGTTAGGGCTCAGGATGTTAATGTCAATAATCTATGAATTTGGACTGAGTGTGTGGTGCATGCCTGTAATCCCAGCACTTGGGAGGCTGAGGCAGGAGAGATTACTATAAATTCAAGGCCAGCCTAAACTACATAGTAATACACCATCTCAGTTTTTTTAAAAAAGAATATGATTCAGATTTCAATCACCTTGCAAGGTTTCATGTCTTTAATTTGATTTTGAGAAATATCAAAAGAAATATTGATTTTTTTTTTTGAACAGAGAGAATCTTTGAAGACCATGAAAACTTGGTTGAAAATCTTCTTAATTGGACAAGAGATAGCCAAAATAAGCTTATATTTATGGAACGTATAGAAAAATACGCACTATTCAAAAACCCACAGGTAAGACTGAATAAGTTATTTAAGATTTTTAGATATGTATCTCATGTCAGAGTTTTTAGATATAGATCTTATTTGATTCTCTTATTACAAAATTAGTGGAGTTAGGAGACTGGCATTCACTTGATTGGAGTGTTGTAGCCACAAACCCCACAGGAGTATTCGTCACTGGTTCTGAGGTTGTAAGGCTGCTAGATGCAGGTGTTGGCCTCCAGGAGATGAACCTAAATGAAAGCAGAAATAGCTCCAGGAAATTACTGAGTTTCCTTGCTCTGTAACTCAGAGCTGTGTTGAACCCAGTAATTTATTTGGCAAGTTTATCTCCTCATCAAAGAAAAGGAGTCTTACCTCCACCATTTATCTATTTTACTTTTACTTCTTTTTTGAATTTTTTTACAAATTATAATTACCTTGATTATAAATGGCTCCACATTCTAATATGTTACCTTTATTATAAAATCATGTTTGATTAATACTTCCTAATACCTAGATTATTTCATAGAAATCAATAGGTGAGGGGGGGAAAAAAGCAAGAACCAAGTTTTCTGGCTGGGGAGATAGCTCAGTGGCATAAGCACCTGCCTGGCAAGTACAAGGTTCTGAGTTTGATGCCTGATACAAAAAAAAAAAAAAAAAAAAAAAAGAAATGAATAGATGGGTAAAAACAAGAACACCATGATAAGGAGTAGTGAGAAAAACAGCAACAGTGTGCAAGGTACTGAATAGCTTTCCTACAGACTTAGTCCTGCAGACTTAGCTTCTCTGGATATTTTAGTGAAGAATTCATGTGGGAGTATCAGTAGCTCTTTTTATGGGCAACTGAAAAATAATCATATTAATAATTGCAATTCAGGTTTTCATTGAGCTAATAAAATGAGATTGTTACAATCTTACAGGATCTGGCATTTCTTTCTTTTTTTTTTTTTTTTAAATCTAGTACAGGGTCTATAGTGTCTCACTCCGTAGATTGGACTCAGTGATTCACCTGTTTTCAGCTGCCCAAGTGCAGGGATTACAGGCGTGCACCACCATGCCCAGTCTTAATTGCTAGTTCAGTGCACCCTGGGGGCAGGGCCAGCACAGCACCTGGGTTTTCTTCAAGCAAGAACTAAGTTTTCTGCATACTGTCAGCTCTTCCATGGGATTCAGGAGAGGGCAATTTATGGAGTAATTCATGACAAATGTTTAGGCAGGTAAGAGGCTAGAGTTGAGTAATTTAATGATCAAGCCCATGTACTGGGACCTCAGCAAAGCAGCACTCCATTTCCTCTACACTGGCAAAAATTAATCTAGAGTTGTTATTTCTATTCAAGAAATCTATTATGCCAAGGGGATGATAGGTTTTTTTCATTAACTTTTATTTCCTTGTTTTTTCCAGAATTATCTTCTGGGGAAAAAGGAAACAGCTGAAATGGCAGATAGAAACAAAGAAGTACTGCTAGAGGTATGCCTCCCCTGCCCCATTTTCTGCACATTGTGTAAGTGAAGTATTAAGTACCTTTTAAAGTGCAGTGTGGTGTGCTCCATATTTACAGTGACAGTTGTAACTCAAGAAGCCTGTATTCTCTGATGCCATGAGGGAGAGAGAATTCAACTGTGTGAACAGGTTAGGCAACTGAAGAACCTTTGAAAAACTTTTTGCCAACCAGTATTCTAGTGGAGTAAAAGAAGTAGTAAGTTTTTAGGGGGTGCCAAGTGGGAAGAAGGGCTGGCTGCTGTAAAATGTTTGCTGTTTTTACCTGCTTTTTCAGAGAGAAAGCTGGATATAATTAGCTGTTCACAAAATATCTCAGGATATAGCCATAAATAATTCAAATAAGTTTCTTAGTTATTCTTGGAAAAATCTTACATTGCAGAATAATAAATTTATGTATCTTTTAAAAATTATTTAATTTATTTGATATGGGGTCTTACTACACAGCTCAGATTTTTTTTTTTTTTTTTTTTTTTTTTGGAATCAGGAATTGAACTCAGGCCCTTGCGTTTGCCAGGGAAGCACTTATTCCACTGAGCTATCTCCCCGGCCCCACAGCTCAGATTTGTAGTGATCCTCTTGTCTCAGCCTCCAGTCCTGGGATTACAGGCATGCAGTACCGTGCCCAGTTTCAGGGCTGGCATGGCATGTGGTACTAGGGATCAAACTTGGGTCCTTTTGCTTGTCAGGCAGGCACTTAGACTGCTGAGCTATCTTCCCAACCTCCAATAAATTTAAATATAACTGAATTTTCAGCTTTTGCTGATTTTAAAAATTAAAAGAAGTTAATATGTTGAAATAAATTTACAAGGCAATTAGGAAAATGAAGATAGATAGGCACTTGGCCTTTTATAGTGATATTGGTTACCATCAAGAAAAAAAATCTTTTTAATTCCTAACTTTTCTGTACTTTGAGGACAAAGAAATTAATTTAGGTTGAAAGTGGCCTACACTGGTATTTAGTAAGGACTTTCTTTCACAGATATAGTAGTTTTAATATTAGATTTGTATCTAAGCATAAACAGAATACAGAATTTTGAGTTTGCTTATATTTCTTTCAACCTAATATTAGTTGTTTTGAAAGCAAATGCCCACTTTGTCTTAGACCATATTGCTTCATATGGTTTTTCAGTTGTTGTTAATCATTTATTTAACATGGTGCTTTCTTTTCAACTTTATTCCTTTTTAGATTGACAGCTAATTAATTCATTGCAAATTTGGAGTAAAATAAAGCTTAATGCCTATATTAACCATAATGTTTTTATTATATTTAGTATTTTATTTAAACTATGCTGTTTAGAAATACATTTAAGTACTGTTATATACAATTTATGTTTCAAGTTACTTTTTCTTCAACATTAGAAAAAAGTTCATAGGCAGAAGTTCATTGTTATATTTATGTATGGAATTTTTGTTAATTAAACATTTTAGGATTGCCATAGTAGTTTCAAAATAAATTTATATTGTCTTTAGAAAGTTCAGATTCAGATGAAATGAATAGCATGGGCTTAATAGAGAAACCACTCCTGTTTTAGAGTAATGCATCTGACAAGGGTAGGCCCAACTTTTCTCTTAACAACCCAAGGATCAGAAATCTTTGTAGCTCATCTTACTATTTTAGGAATGCTTTGGTGGAAGCTCTGTAACTGTACCAGAAATTGAAGGAGTCCTTTGGTTGAAAGATGATGGCAAGAAGTCCTGGAAAAAGCGATACTTTCTCTTGCGAGCATCTGGTATCTACTATGTCCCTAAAGGAAAAGCAAAGGTGGGTCCTTTCTGTAGGACTTTGGTCCCTTCTCTCAAGCTTATTGCTTTAATTTGTAATGAGTATGTCATTACTTTAGCTCACATAGAATAGATTACTTTATTTGTAATCTATCTAAAGACAGGGAAACTAAAAAAAATTTCACTTCTCCAGTCATTAGTTGGGCTCAACTCATTTCTTTTACTACATTTGAAATCATAGTTTTATTTATTATTTTGGGGTTCTTGCCAGAGTAGCTGTTTGGGGAGAAGAATTTTCGGGGTTTACAGCCATTCCAATCTTGAATGATAGGCTTTTTCTTGGTATAACTATCGCTTTGTACTAATTTGAGGACAGAACTATCTTAAGGGCTTTAGAGTATCATCTAATATGATACAGTTTTATAATAATCCTATAAACAAAATTATATCCCTATTTAACTGATGAAGAAACCTCCAGTGGAGAATCACTGTATTTGAGATATGTTTTATTCCAGGGAGCTTTCCTTTACACTATTGTAATTATATGCCATACTATACTTAAGTATTTTCTTTAAATGTCAGCATTTCCAAAAAAATTAGGTTTGGTATGAATAGCAAGAGAGTAAGTGTTTTAGTTACTTTTCTCATTACTGTGACAAAATAACCAACAGAGGAGGTAGGTTTAGTTAAAGGAGGAAAGGTTTATTGCATTCATAGTTTGTAGAGATTTCAGTCCATAATTGGCTGGCTCCAAGGCATGGCAGAGGGGAAACAGTCCATGGTGGGTAGAGGGTAGCAAAGCAAGCAACCAAGGGTTCTTAGCAGCTTCTTTCTGCCCCTTTGATATTCTATCCCTTTTATATCCTTGGAGAAAATGCCAAACCAATCAGTGCTACTGATTTAGTAATCACACACCCTTAATCCCAACACCCTTAATCCTAGTATTGTACTATGAATCATTTACATACTCTAGATCCAGCCACCTTTGAAAAAGCTCCACCTATGATGGAATGAGGCTTTGGGGGGACATCTAGACACAAACAGTAACAGTAAGCAAAATGAACTGATTGGGGGTTATATTATAGATTAAATAAATGTGTAAAACTTTATTCTTCTTCTGCAAAATAGCAGTAATTTCTACTTAGTAAAATTTAGATTTTCAGCTAAAAATTGTAACTATTATACTTGTTTCTTTGTACACCATTTTTTTAATTTTATATTTTTTTATTTTTATTGAGAAATATGAATGAGACAGTTTCACAGATGATTAATAGGACAGTTTTGATAATCAATACACTGTACATTGTTAGCTTCTTAGTGGTTATTCATAGTACAAGAAGCAGACAGGATATTCTGTCCAAACACTGTTATGTACACCATTGTTAACTTGACCTTTTGGATGTTTTTATGCTAGGTTTCTCGGGATCTGGTGTGCTTTCTCCAGCTCGACCATGTGAATGTTTACTATGGCCAGGACTATCGAAACAAATACAAAGCACCTACAGACTATTGTCTGGTGCTAAAGGTAAACACATTAACAGCTTTTGGGTGAATTTTAATTGAGGTTAGACATAGGTTATTGGACATTTGCAATACTTTGGATCTTCAGCAAGTATACTGTTTTTGCTTTATTGTGTGTCTTGAAAAAGGAATGGTAGAACTGGGTGTGTAGCTCAGTTCTAGAACACTTTGCTAGTATGTAGAGTTAGATTCCAATATAACCAAATAATAAAAATAAAAAAGAGGGGAAAAAAACATGTACTATGCCACAACTGACCCTTAGCCAATTAGCCTTAGAATGATGCACATAAAAAGTGGATGATTATTATAAGCTTTGAGCCATAATATGTAAAATATACTTGATTATACATTTGATATTTGTATTTATCATAAGCTTATTTTAGGAAAACTTACATCAGGGATGAATGTGAGACACATACCTTTTGTTTTAGTTATTTTCCTTTGCTGAGCAGAACCATCAGAGGGTGCTGTGCCCAAATTCTACATAAATTGGCTCCTTAGCTCTACCTTAGCCTTAAGTCTGCATGTTTATATCTTCATGTTTTATTTCTCTCTTCTCAGAGAATTGTCATTTGGCTCTAGAGTGCAGGATTTGTTTAGGATAGGGGGATGTAATGGCAACACTTTGTTAAACAATACTCTCTCAGAGACCACCACTGTATCATTTAAGTTACTTAAGAGCAAATAATTCTTTAACGTCAAAACAAAGTAACTTCACCCAAACAGTTTTTAAAACAAGACCGAGGTCCCCTGAAAATTAGGACCATAATGTCAAAATTGATTTTTCTATAATGCTAAGATGTTATTTGCCTTTTGCACTCTTGATTCTCTCAGAAATGTATAATGGAGTTTTCTACAAGGTCACGTAATGTGATATATTTTTGCCGTTGACATGTACAGTGTGTTTTTAGGTAATATTGTATCTTAATTTTTCCTACTTTGATTTCTAATGAGGTAAATATTGAAGAGGTAGAATAACTCCATTTCCATCTTCTCAGAGGCAGTCTTGGCAAGAGAATTGGATTGAACTAGTGGAGTACATTACTGCCAGCAGGGTTACAGCAAGAATAATAAGGGGCATACAGCAGCACATTGCATAAGTAGGCTAGAAGACAGCATTGTCTTAGTAAAAAGGTCTGCACAGAATTGTCTGAGCTATTATCCTGGAACATAGGAATGTAGTATATTACTCATGTAGGCAGGGCATCTTTCTCCTAAGAATTTCATCTTCTTTCAAGAAACAGCATAAAGACCTACATGTTCTTTTGGGATCTGATGTTTTTTAAGAGACTAACTTAAACAATCAATGCCATTAGTAGACATAACCCACATAAAAAGAAAGCTATTTGAGGGGTTTTATAACATGAAATAAGAGCTGGTTATTTCAGCAGCTCAGAGTTGTGAGAACCCACCCTCTTCCTATCTTTCTCTGTTCTGTCTTCTGCCTGTCCTCCTTGTGCAGGCTAACTTACCTCACTGTGGTGAGATGAACACTGCAGGTCTAGGCATCAACAAAGGCCTAGGGAAATACAGCAGAACAAGGACTTTTCTCCGTGTAGTGTATTTGCCTTTTTTAAAAATTATTTTTTTTTTCTTAATGTATTTCAGTACAGGATCTATAGGGTTTCACTGCACAGATTGGACTCATAGTGATCCTCCTGTCTTTCAGCCTCCCAAAGGCTGGGATTACAGGTACATGCCACCATGCAGTCTCAATCGTCTCAGTGCGCCTTGGGGGCGGGGCCAGCAAAGCCGGCAGGGGATTGAATCCCCAGCTCCTGCATCTGCCTAAGCAGGCACTTTAATCCACTGAGTTATATGATCGGCCCTGTATTTGCCTTTTTTTAAAAGGAGAAAACTTTTCCAGAAGCTACCCCATAGTCCTACCCTTGCGAACTGTTTTTTGAGATAGGGTTTCACAAAGTTGTCCAGGCTGGACTTGAATTTGAGATCTTCTTGCCACAGCCTCCCAAAGTGCTGGGATTATGGGTATATGTAACTAGGCACAGCATCCTCACACCTAGAGGATTTTTGACCTAAAGTACATTCCAACTGCGACACCATTCACTGAGAAGGCATACAAAATCACTGTGCTTGCCCCTCACTAGTCAGAACCCACACATTTGGGACACAGGTGATGGATTGTCCTCTACTTGATGAGAAGTAGGAAGAAGAGGCATCTACTGTGAGAAAGGTAACTAACATTGTCTGTCAAAATCCTACTAACTGTGAGTACTATCTCTGACAGGTTGGAAATCCCTAATTTGAAAATCCATAATCTGATATGCACTGACGTCTGACTTGTTTTTAGGTACATTTTATACATTTTAGGTATACATAATAATCACATTCATCATACAGAACTTGTACCTGCATATGATATAACTTGATTTCTTTATTTCCCCATCCCCCTACCTTCCCTTCATCACTCCCCAATTTACCAAAAGCTTTGTTTCTATGTTTTCCTTTTTTCTTTTTTTTTACTTTTTCCTTCTTTCCTCCTCCCCCCTTCTTTATTCCCCTCCCCATTTAAATATTTTTTTTCCTATTTCACAATACCTGTTATACATTTTGGGCCTACTTATATTCTCAGTTTCTTACACCAGAGAATCAATGTGATATTTACACATGTATGTCCAATTTTGAAATCTCACTTTTCAAGAACCAGCATGACATTCAGAAAGTTTCAGAAGAGCCTTTACTTACCATGCATGGGGCCCTAGGTTCAATCCCAGCACCACATGAAGAAAAAAATTTGCTTTAATCATGTATGTATGTATGTATGTATATATGTATGTATGTATACATTTGGTACAGGGTCTTGATACACAGCTCCAACTCATAGTGATCCTTCTGTCTCAGCTTCCCCAGCATTGGAATTACAGACTATGCCAACACACCCATGTTTTCTCCCCAGACCCTATTTTTTTCTTTTTTTTCAGAGTTCAGAGCACTTCAGATATTCAGATTAGGGATGCCCAAGCAGTAGTCTGCAAATATTCCAAAATCCTTAAAATTTTGAAATCTGAATCTGGACATTTTGAGTATAGAATACTCAGGCTGTTTAATAGTCTCTTTTTTAACTCACAGAATTCTTAAGAATATTTTTGTGTCAAGGGTTTTTCCTTCGTTTTTCAACAATATCTACGTTTTATATTCACTATTAGTGATCTCTGTATTCTATATTTTTTTTCTGCCATTAGAAAACATAGTCACTATCATTCAGTGTAGAACGTGAGGTGACAGCCTGCACTAGAAAGGAGCAGCACAGAAGCTGAAGTGCAGTACTCAGGGTCAATTTGTCCAGCACTGTATATATTGGGAGCCTGCCCCTTAGCTCAGTTCTTTAAGTGGCTGCTTCAACAAAGCAGTCATGGGGCCCGGGAGATGGCTCAGTGGAATAAGTACTTCCCTGGCAAGTGCAAGGGCCTGAGTTCAACCCCCAGTTCCACCAAAAAAAAAAAAAAAAAAAAAAAAAAAGCAGTCAGGCTCAGATTGCTGTGGTTCGATCCCCACAACTCAAGCCAGCCAAACCTGCCCTGAAGGCATTCAGAGGAAAAAAAAAAAAATCCTTCTGCCATTTGCCCAGCATCACATAACCATTAGGGTTTAATTAAAGACAAGTCTTCAGTCCTCGAGTCTTTACTAGATTTTGCCTATACAAATATTTTTATTCTTGAACATGAGTTCTAAAGAAAATGCTGCTCTACAGGGTTTACACAAATACAAGCTTAGTATTTATAGGGCCTTATCTTTCTATCAGCTTTGGGCTATGATTTTCCAGTGAAATATTGGATACTAGAAATATGCCAGGTTTGAATAAAACATATGGTGTGAACATTTAAATATTTTTAACAATAAAAGACCTATTGTAGTTAATATCCCCAGCCAAATACTATGCTCAGTTGAAACACTTAGCCCATGATGTTTGCTACTTTCTAAAGTAGTTCTAGGGGTCCTTTTCCATGAGGATCTATAGTTGTGCTGCCACAACTGCCTGAATAATTTCAAAACATTTCCTTTTCATCATCATTTTGACTTTGGTGAAGAGCCAAAAGTTTTATGGTAGCAGCTGGGGAATAAGGTGGATGAGAACATACTGGGTTTTTCATCATACCACATAAAAACACAAGAAGGGATTTCCAGAACTGCTTCAGTGATAGGGAAAAAAGAAAAAAAAAAAAAAGGTAAGTGTGCTTGAGTAAAGGGGAGTGAATATTTTGGGGGACAATGATAGCAGTGTCTCTTTTATATAACTTTATTTAAAAATTCACTGTATACCTTGATCACATCTCATATGTACACAGTCACATTTTGGTAATTTGTTTTTTAAAGGTCATAAAAGTATTGATAAGTAAAGTTTATCCATCAAATTTGACAATATAGGAACAAACAGGTTGTGTATTCATCTGTAATTAAATGTTTGCTTTAAAAAAAAATGTTTTATTTGGTACAAGGTTTTACTATGCATCTCAGACTTGTAGTGATCCTGTCTCAGCCTCCGTGGTGCTGGGATTATAGGCGTGCACCATCACACCCAGTTTGGCACAGGTGGGAGCCGGCACAGCATGCGGTACCAAGGATCAAGCCCAGGCAGGTCCTTACACTTGCCAGGCAGGCACTTAGACTGCTGAGCTATCTCCTCACACTTAAATAAGTTTCTTAAGGAAATCTGTTTGAAAATTACATACCACATTTATTGTTGGACTAGGGCTTGCTTTAGGCAGATTGAGGCAAAATAATTTATTTCTCTGTGGTAGGTAGGAAAGGAAAAGCAGTTTGCATTGAACTTCTGAAGCACCATTACTTATAAGTAACTTGTAAGGCAGTAATATGACATAATAGTTAAGGTTATGGGTGCTGGAATAAAATTGAATTGGTTCATTTCTCAGTTCTTTCGCTTATGAAAAGAAAGTTTAATTGCTGTCTTTAATCTTCTATCTTTTAAAAAATTTTTCTTAATCTTTCATTTATTTGGTTCAGGGTTTCACTACACAGCGTGGACTGGTACTGATCCTCCTGTCTCAGCTTTCCCAGCACTGGGATTACAGACATGTGCCACCCTGTCCACTTTCGATGGCTGGCATGGCATGCAAATATAGGCATCAAACTTGGGTCCTTGTGCTTACCAGGCAGGTGCTTAGCCTGCCAAGCTATCTCCCAAGTCCTAATGTTCTATCATTAATCACTTCCAGAATGTAGAAATGGTAGTAATGGTAATAAGAGTTTCTGTGAGGATTGAATGAGTTTAAAATATGTGAAATATTTCACATAATCTCTGGTGCTATTTTTAATAAGCTATCAGTGGACTAGTGGGACAGCTGATTCCTGAGGGATTATTAATAATGGGGACCTTGAATAAGGACTGCTGTGAGTGCCTTTATTATATGGGAAGATAAAAAAGAACTGAGTCCCTAAAATGAATTTTAAATTAACAAACAGTGTGATGCTTGACTTAAATAGAATCAGAAAAACACCCAGCTCTTCAGGATGTTAACCAGATGCCTAGGTGAGAGAGGTGAAGTGAAAAAAGCAGAGGATAATTTTCTTTGATTTTTCCCTGATACTCTGTTGATGCTTACTTTTGTTTGGGTTTGGTTTGTTTTGATTTTGGTGCTAAGGACCAAACCCAGTGCTTCTAGCTTGCTATGCAAGTGTTCTACTGCTGAGCTAAATACCCAGCCCTGATACTCTGTTATTGAAAACACCTTTTCATGTAGAGAGTGGATAGTCATATGTGCATACTCAGGACCCTGCTGTTAACAAGCTCCAGGTAGTCAAGATAGTTGTTAATGACCGTGGAGGGAGGTGACAAAAAAGGCTGAGATGGTCCTGTAGCAGCCCCTGCCAGAGGCAGTGCCTCTGAGGAGAACATCTCTTCCATGCTTCCTCAGATGCCTACTTCATCTTCTGCATACACTGTGACATTAGCCAAAGACCTGTTCTGTTTTGCTTATCACTATATCCTAAATAGTCAAAGCAAATAGTTCTCATGCAGTAAATATTTGTTGAATGAATAAATGAGGTGAAATTCTTCTTCATCCTTGTGTGGAAAAACATAACTCTTTCATGTGTACTCCTTTGTGCTTTAAAGGTTACCATGACACATTCTTGGAACATAATGTAGTATAGACAAGCACTGTATTCCAGGAGACAGGACTATATTGTCAGAAGAGAAGTTGTTGGGTATTGTTTTGCTTCCCTTTTATTGATTGAGAGTTTATCATTTTAAACTGACTACAGCCTTCAAGAAAATAGTGCTGGGGCTAGGGAGATAGCTCAGCAGAATAAGCACCTGCCTGGCAAGCACAGGGTCCTGAGTTCAATCCCTGGTACCACATACTGTCCCAGCCCCAGGACCCTGGGTATGTTGAGCCAGCCCTGAAACCTGGTGTGGTGGCACACACCTGTAATCCCAGTGCATTCCTTTTTGTTGTTGTTGTTTTGTATTTGGTACAGGGTCTCCCTACCAGCTAGGACTTGCAGTGATCCTCCTGTTTTCAGCCTCTCTGGGGTTGGGATTACAGGGGTGTGCCACCACACCCGGTCTCAGTGGCCAGCAGCATGGTATGTGGTGCTGGAGATTGAATTCCGGCCCCTGCGCCTGCCTAAGCAGGCACTTAGTCTACTGAGCTATCTCGCTGGTCCTAAAAAAGAAAAGAAAAGAAAAAAGGTGGTCTAGGTAATAAGTGTTTTATTTGATTTTTTTATTTTTATTTATTTATTTATTTTTGGGGGGAACCGGGGATTGAACTGAGACCCTTGCGCTTGCCAGGGAAGCGTTTATTCCACTGAGCCATCTCCCCAGCCCCTGTAATAAGTGTTTTAAAAGAGCCTCCTGAGCTCTGCAAACTGTTGGCTGCCCTGGGAACAAAACACTAAAGAGTTGTGACATTTTCTTTCTCACAGTAGAACAAGGATTGATCATTAACAATGCAGCTGTGAACTTGTTTTATTGATATCATGGCTTCTACAACAAACAAATGTAGGGAATTTTGGATAAATTCTTTTCAAACTGCTTTCATTCATGTAATTAAACACAAATATTAGGTGTTTTGGCAAAATACAGCTATCATTTTAATTTTTCAGAATGAATGAAAAGAGCAATAATAAACTGGCCTCATTACATCCAAATTCAGTGTAGTTTGAGCCTTTTCTTTTCTAGACACTAGTGGTTGAGGTCCAGTAGAATTAAACTGGCTTCATTCCATTCCTAAGATGAGCACTAGTAGCCCACGGCAGGTCCTTCACCCTGCCCAGGCGTCAATAGATGCATAGAAGCTACTGGCTCCAAGAAGCTACTGGCTCCTGCGACACACACTGTGCTCCTGCCACAGTGGGGAGGGACCTCCACATCTGTCTCTACCGCAGCACCAGATAGAGCCATGGGCTTCTGTCCTGGACTGGTGCTGTGTGCTCGATGCCCTAGCCCAGTGATAACTCCAGAGCAGTGCTGAAGCCTCACCAAAGCCCTCTCAGTTGGAAATCAGGAGAGTTCAAAGTGAAATAGAATTTTCTCCCCTTTTTCCAATCCTACAAATTAAGAATTCTGCTGAATTAACCTTGATGGATTTTGTTTCTTTCAAATGTAGAAGGGATATCTGGGGATTTCCCATGTGTGAAGGTTTACTTTAATGTGGACAGACTGACCTAAAGCTTAACCCAAGTTTCACTCCATGTGGGCTTTTCTGTTTGGCCATATGAGAAATATATTTATTATTTGGATATCTAATAACTTACCAGGATAAGTTTAAACTTTGATAAAACTTATTTTTTCCATGTCTCCAGAAGACTAATTTTGATTTTGCATTTTGCTCTTGCAGCACCCACAGATCCAGAAGAAATCTCAGTATATCAAATACCTCTGCTGTGATGATATGAGGACCTTGCATCAGTGGGTCAACGGGATTCGCATTGCGAAGGTGCATTCCTTCAGATGGGATGGAAAGGGTTAAATGATGGTTATGATGCAATTTGAGTTTCATGATAGTTCATGATTTTGCTGGTATTTCATTTTCTTGGACCTAAGTGTGCTTTTTTTTTTTTTTTTTAATGTCCTTTTTTCTTGGTAGTGATAATAGTTGGTATTCATGGATTAACACTGCTGGTAAAAGCTTGTCAAGTAGCATCACAGTATTTTGTCTTGGGAGAATGTATTATGTGATTCTCATAGCAGAGGTTAGCCTAGGCAAAGTAATTTTTTAATTTAATAATCATTTAGCAACCAGAATTAGAGCAGTTTCTTTAATAGTGTTAAAGATAAGGCCCTTGATCAAGAATTTGAGGTGAAAAAATACTTTTAATCAACTGTTAACTTCCTACTGCTTTTATATAAATGAGGAAGATTACGATTTGCTAGTACTGCAAGACTTGGGAGTATTATAGATATTAATACAACTATAAATCAGTAAACAGATGCATCCCCATTTGCTACCTTATCCTTCTGATAACAAGTACAATTCAGTGTCATCATTTATTGTCTCTATTTAGTATGGGAAGCAGCTCTATGCAAACTATCAAGAAGCTGTGAAGAGGACAGAGTCTGCCTATGACTGGACATCCTTATCCAGCTCCAGTATTAAATCAGGATCCAGCTCTTCCAGCATCCCAGGTAGTTCAGATGCCTCAAAGCGCCATTTTGGAGACTGGTAATAGACCTGATCATTTCAACTTGATTCATAGAAACCAGAGCCAAATTTTTCAAGAGTGGACAGTATCACGGACCAGTTCTCAAATCAGTATATACAGACTTGTAAAGCCAGGAGTTTTATAATTTATATGTGTAAAGCGTATTCAGAATCCATTACATGTACTGAAATGTATGGGTTAAACAATTGCTTGGCAAGGGCTGGGGTGATGGCTCAGTGGAATAAGCGCTTCCCTGGCAAGTGCAAGGGCCTGAGTTCAATCCCCGGTTCCACAAAAAAAAAAAAAAAAAAATTGCTTGGCAGAATCTCTGTCCTCAGAATCTATCAGGAGGCCACCTTCCTTTCATACAGATTTCCTGATATTGCACTGTAGTGGAAATGCCTGAAACTAGTTCAGAATTACAATTCAGGAAACCATTCAAGTCATCAAACTTTGTGAAATTTTTACAGGAAGCCATTGATACTCAAATAGGACTTTCAAATTCCCACATCCTTCAAGCAAATATAAACAAGTTTAAGTTGTAAAGTAAATGCTTCTTCACTTTCAAAACATTCCCTGATGTTCATAACCCCCTAAAAGCAGAACTTTTTGTTACTTATTGATTAAACTGATTTAATTTCATCCCTAAATTATTTAAACAAATTTATTTTACTATATTTTTTTGAATTGTTTTTTAGAAGGGGTTTATTTTTTGTTTTTGATGCCGAAGACTGAACCCAGGGCTTCCAGCTTGCTAGGCAAGCGTTCTACTGCTGAGCCAAATCCCAGGCCTGTAAACCAATATAGAATGTGTATATGTATGCAGGTTGGTGTATACATACATGTATTTCCTAGTTTTGTTCACTGACTGTAGAATCTGTATACTCCAGTAATAAAAGTATGTTAAAGGGATTTGGAATCTACCTAAGTCTGACCGCCAAAGCTAGAAGAATTAGACAGTAAAATAAATAATGTAGTGTAGGGTAATAACCCAGATCATAAAATAAATATCTATGAGTCTATACCAATATGAGCAAGTTATTGAATAAACAAGGAAGAGACTTAATTTTACACAGAAAACTTATAAATAGCTTACCTAGATACTTTTCTTTGAGGAGGTACTTTGTCTCTCTGCTCCTCAAGTGTGGACTGCACACAGTGAGTTGCTTCCAAAGAGTAGCACAGAAGGGGGCAGTTACTATCCGGCACAGAACCTGACACACACAACCTCACCCCATGATCATGGTCAGTAGTATCAGGTAGAAAGTCACACTGATCTCATGTGCCCCTCAAAGGATTTGAGCAAGTTGGTTTATTTGGCCTGTGCTCTTCTTCCCAAATTCATAGTCTTAGTCTAATCAAGGGAAAAGCATGAAACCAAAACTAAGAAGCACTCTGTTAGTCATCAAAACGGAGCTCTTCTACTGTAATTTTGTCTCTCATAGTGAAATATTTATGAAAAACTAAGATTTACATTCAGGAATGGTGGCACATGCCTGTAATCCCAGCACTCAGGAGGCTGAGGCAGAAGGATCAGTGCAGATTCAAGGCCAGCCTAGGCTATGTAGTGAGCTCAAGGCCAGACTGAAGTGGGCATTGAGACCATGTTTTAAAAAAAAAAAAAATCCCTTATTTCCTAAGATAAGGGAAGTTTTCTAATGAAAAATACTGTGTTTGTAGTAAAAGGGAGTGGTGTAAAATTAATTTACTGTTATTCTACATAGCTTTTGATTCTGTGTAAAAGACCTAAAAGCACATGTTCAGACTGTCAGAATAATGCCTGACTTAATCTGCTCTCCCACTCCATAACAGAATCTCAGTCCAATCATTCTAACCAGTCTGACAGTGGTGTCTCTGACACCCAGCCAGCAGGGCCAGGGCACATCCGTGCCCAGAGCATTGTGAGCTCCATCTTCTCTGAGGCTTGGAAGCGCGGCACTCAGCTGGAGGAGACCAGCAAGGTAAGGACGGGCACTCCTGGGCTTGGGTAGTGCTGTTCCTCTCCCTTCCTGGGCCTCTTCCTCAGGGCCATTTCAGTCTCCACCTAGGTCCTCAGTCTTGCTATTGTAATGGAAGAAACCATTTGAGAGAGACCTGCTGATCTGACTTCTCCTTAGAAGAGGTTATTTGCTATTTCACTCTAATGATCTAAAAACAACTCTTGTCAGTTTAACTCATTTATCAGTGGTTCAAAATTTTAAGATAAAACATTTTTCTCCTTTGTACCCTTAACCAGTTGGTAGAACAGTACCATGCAGTACGAGTACCCTATAGTGGTACATGTTCCAGAGAAACTGCTTGCAATTATTTCTATATCTGTTATTAACTGAATTTGTTCAGACTTATTCCTCATCTTTTATGACTTTTAGCATTTCTTTGGACACTAACGAACTTTCTCAAATTCTGCTTTATAGTAGAAGACCAAATTTAAATCAGTCCCCTTAAAAGTTTGTTTCTCAGCCTTGCAAAGTAGATTATTCAGACACCTAAGAATAATTATTTTAGGACTATAAGTTTAGGAAAATAGATTCTTTGACTGAGTGGAAAGGCAAGTTCACACAGCAGAGGGGAGTTCTGTCCAGGCCACCACGCCAGAGCTGAGCAGCGCCCTGGCTGGGCTATGTAGTTCTTAGCTAGTAACCATTTTGAGTTTTTTGTTCTTGTGGTCAGAGTCCCTCAGTACATTCACAAATGAGAACCAAATGGGCATTTATTCTTTACTTATTGAAACATTTCTTCCTTTACTTCCATTTATGCTTAAGTGGCCCTGAGAGTGCAGAGGAGCATTCATTACCCAGTGATGAAGAAACAGAATCCATCCCTAGTTTCAGAAAGAGAATGAGCCCAGGCATAGTGTCATCTGTCTGAGTCATGACCCTTGTGTGTTTCTTGTCACTTCAGTCTCAGTTGCCACCCAAGACGGCCAGCACAGCTAAGCTCTGCACCCCTGGGCCAGCCAAGGCAGGGCCAAGTGAAGGTCAGGGCTGTTCTCTGGAACACTTAACCTGGGTGACCCCGTAACTACTCCTTCCTCCTAATGCTTCTGCTCCCACTGGTCATTTTTAAAGAAACATGTAGGTGTTCTAGAAGGCATTAGAATTCAGCCTATAATGAAATGAGCCTTGTAGCCCACTAACGTAAGCGTCTTTCATGCTAGATGTCATAAGTGAAAACGAATGGTTTGTCTCTTTGTAATAGCTGGTTCAAAAAGCCTAAATGGTGCACCCAAAAGCTATTACACCAAGGGAACTTACTTTCCTCCTCTTAAAAGTTTTTGAGCCACACTTGTGCATGACTTGCTCCATGAAACCATTTCAGCAATGCCAAGAAGCACGCAGGTGGAGTTTGGTGCAAACTCTCCCCTTTTCTTGATACATTGCCTTTTGTCTTCCAAATATCCCCACTTATTTCCTTCTGGCTTTTTCTGTGTGATAGTTTTGTGATCTTTGGCTGTAATGTTTACAGAGCCTTTCTCAACACATGCTTCAAACAAGTATATGAATGTCCTGCACCTGTGCTGCTGGGTTTGTGCATGTGGGGTGCGTGTCTCGCGTGGACACGGTGTGTGCACGCCTCACTACCATGCCAGCATGCTGAGTAAGTCGAGTCTGGGCAGTTCCCCACCACTTCTGTCCCGAGCCTCATCCGCTCCCATCTGCATTGGTCACGTTGGTGCAGGCAAGGAGCGAAGGTCTCCAGTGACATGCATCCACCTGCTGGTCAGGAGGTGCCAGCGCCCCAAGCAGATGGCTCCCATGCGGGAATTGTGTGCGAGGTCACTGGCCCCCTCAACAGGAGATACTTCCTGCAGGGCCAGGCAGCACGCCTGTCAGAGATGTTGAATGTCAGAGATTTGTGTGTCCTTGCTGCCCTGGGAGTCCGTGTGGCCTTCTGGGTACTGTCCGTCTCTACGTGTTGTTCCTATCACCCTGCTCACAGGCTTGTTTTTTTCTCATTCTTTTATCCTCCTTTTAGGCCAGAACAGAATCTCTGAATCGGCCCTACACGTCACTGGTGACTCCTTTGTCCCCACAGACTAAGCCAGGCACCCCCTACACTGCTTCCCAGCCCTCGCCCCCGCTGCCCCCGCCGCCACCGCCACCTCCACCACCCCCACCACCACCTCCGCCACCCCCACTTCCTGGCCAGTCTGCACCGTCCTCAGGCTCGGCGGCCACCGTGTTCGTCAAGTACAGCACGATCACAAGGCTACAGAACGCGTCGCAGCACTCTGGGTCCCTGTTTAAGTCACCGCCACCCCCAGGCACGCAGTCGCTGCCCTTGGCCTCACAGGCCGGCAAAGCTCAGCTCCTGGTACCCCCCAACGGTGTCGTGCCACCGCCCCCACCCCCTCCACCACCCCCAACTCCTGGCTCTGCGATGGCCCAGCTAAAGCCAGCACCCTGTGCCCCTTCGCTGCCGCAGAGCAGCCCACCGCCACCGCCACCGCCAAAGATCCATCAGGTTCAGCCCACGGTGGCCCCTACGCCCCCCAAGCCCCCAGTGCCTGGGCCCACGCCCCCGCCGCCGCCAGCCAAAAAGCCACCCCCATCCCCGTTCCCCAAACAGCAGAGCCTGGTTGGGAAGTCGCTCCCGCCCCCGCTGTCTCCAATGCCCACCGTGCCCTCTGTGGTGAAGCAGATGGCCGGTCAGTTCCCTCCTACTACTGCAGACGCGCAGCCCCTGAAGCCAGGCCCAGCCCACATCGTGCCGCAGTCCCCCCCTGCTGTGAAAGCGAAGCCCAAGTGGCAGCCCAGCACCGTCCCTGCGCCTTCTCCGGACTTCCCTCCTCCCCCTCCGGAAAGTATCCTGGCGTTTCCGCCTCCACCTCCACCTCCACCTCCTCCTCCTCCACCCCCAGCCCCTGCTGCTGATAAAGGAGGATCTCCGGGCAAAAAGCCCAGTCAGATATCCAGCCCTGGAGGAAAGAAGCCACCCCCGACGCCACAGCGCAACTCTAGCATCAAGTCGAGCAGTGGCGAGCAGCTGGAGTCCAAGAGGCCCTCGGTGGATACCCTGGTGAGCAGGTTCGCCCCACCCGCCGACGAGACCCTGCCCCCCGTTGCACTGCCCAAGCCCGGAAAGCTCCTGCTCCCCGGAGCCGGCTTCCCCAGCGTGCTCCCCGGGGCAGCGCCAGCCAAGCCCGCTGTGCTGAGCGGGCGACGGAAGGACTCAGTGGTGGAATTCCCCTCTCCACCGTCGGATTCTGACTTCCCACCCCCTCCACCTGAAACAGAACTTCCTCTGCCCCCCATTGAGATCCCGCCAGTGTTTTCAGGAAGCGCTTCCCCCAAAGTGGCAGTTGTTAACCCTCAGCCACAGCTGTGGTGTAAAACGTCCTCCGTGAAGAAGGCCCCTCCGCCCACACGACCCAAGCGCAACGACAGTACCCGCCTCACCCAAGCAGAGCTCTCTGAGCAGCCAGCAATGGCCACTGTTGTGCCACAAGTGCCCACATCTCCCAAGTCCAGCCTTAGCGTCCAGCCTGGATTTTTGGCTGACCTCAACAGGACCCTGCAACGGAAGTCCATCACCCGGCACGGCTCACTGTCCTCCTCCCGCATGTCCAGGGCCGAACCTACAGCCACCATGGATGACATGGCCCTGCCTCCGCCACCCCCCGAACTGCTCTCTGATCAACAGAAGGCCGGCTACGGGGGCAGTCATATATCAGGCTATGCAACCTTACGGAGAGGACCTCCTCCTGCTCCCCCCAAAAGAGACCAAAACACCAAGCTCTCCAGAGACTGGTAACTGCCACAAAACGAGTTTCATGTTACCTGTAATCACTTTTACAATCAGCTTACCTGATCATCTGTGAATTCAGGTGTTCAGAGCCTCCTGGTATGTTATTCAGGTAGTATGTGGCCGTGTGTGTGTTTGTGTCTGTGTACACATATGTATACATAAATGTATATGTATGTAGAGAGAACAGAGTAGTTCTATTTATTCCTTTCCTCTACAAATCTGAAAATGGGTTTTGTATATCTTGAGCGCAAGAGGCATGGAAAGGGATGTTTACTGTCTCTTAGGATTTGTCTATCATGTAGATTGGACCAAAAACTTCTAATTATTACTTAGAAGGTATTTTATAAGTGTCTGTGCAGTCTACTCGTGCATGTTGTATATTACATAATTAAGGAATAGATGTATAACATGTTTCTCAGTTTGAGAAAACCAGTGTTAGACATAGCTATTGGGCTTTTATGTTTGGTTTTCCCAAGTTGGCTGAGTTAGAACTGCTTGACTGATTACTTTATTACTATACATTATAGGGCACTTTAAATCAGGAAAATCTCTGCTTCGTAGAATGAGCAAATAGTGCAGGAGGAGAAATTTTTCACAGTGTCTTCATGTGATTGTGCATAGCAAAGGAAATCCATGGTATAACAGACTGCTGTAGTTGCAGTGCTCCTGCAATGGTCCCACCCACATCTAGGATGTGTTCTGTCACAGGTAAGCTTGGTGTAGCATTAATACTCTAATGCTGGCTAGTTTGAGTGCTGTCTTGCGATGCCTCAAGTTGGCTTCGTGGTCTTCACTTTGAGAATGTCCAACACAGTATCCTTGTAATGCACTGTCCCAGTATGTCATTGGGTCACCAGTTAATCTTCTCTATAGCATATACTTTAGGTAGATGTTGAAATTGTAAACAGTTGGTATATAAAATACTCCCCTGCCCATCATTAAGAAAAACCTTCTGAAATGTGTTGTGCATTGCTCTCTAAAAGGTTAAGATAACAGAACAAAACTGAGCCCTGTACAGATATCCTTGATCAGGTTGTACATGGGTTATAATATGTAAATCAAAGAATCCATTAACTATGGAAATACCACTAAGGGAAAGAAAATGAGGTTTTTGGTAATGTCACTCATACCCAATAGAGAGCTGTTTAGTATCTTCACCGACTGCACCTTGGTTGTAGACACTGCTCTAGGTAACTAGGTGTTGTGGTGGAGTAACACAGTACCAAGTTGTCAGTGACCTTACATATTGTGCATGTGCAGTTTGGTGTAACAAGGAACCACTGCTTGAAGGACACACTACACTTCTATATGCTTCATACTATATACCTTCTTCTGTTAATTTTCCTTTGTACATGAGTATGTACTGTCACCAATTTACCATAAATCGACTCTTATAAATAAAATGCAATCAAAGCTGCTCTTAAACGAGAATAAAAATTGGCCGTCCCAGCAATGAGAAACGAAACATCTTGTAATGAAAGTCTGTTCCTGCTGTGAGGATTACCAGTGCAAGCTGCAGGTATGTGTTGACACTGCCCCATAGGAGAAAGCAACGCCAATGAATGGGAAAAGGGTAAAGAATTCAAGAATAAACTAAAATTGTGCTGGGTGCAAGGCATCACTGTAATCTGTCGAAAAAGAACTGCATCACAAAGAGGAAACAGTGCACCTTTCCACTCTGCATCTCCAGGATATTTGTTCAGTATATTCATGTGGCAGGGGGCCTGGCCCTAGCTCAGGCCTTTAAGTGGCTGCTTCCACAAAGCTGTCAGCCTCAGGTTGCTGGAGTTCGAACCTCACACCTCTCCCACTGGCCAAAAGTGCCCTGAAGGCATTCGAGGAACCAAAAAAAAAAATATTCATGTGGCTAAGGAGCAATAAGACATCATTTAAGATTCCTCAGTTCTGTGTGCTTGACATGCTGATGCTTATGAAGTGACCTTCAACATAGCTGCATTATCTGTGCAAGTGCAGCAATGTGGGTAACACAAGTACAGACCGCCTCGCCTCTCAGTACTCCAGGCTGGAGTCATTTCCAGTCTTCTGCTTGCTGCTTTGGGGCCTAAGGATCACCCGTATTTGCAGAGCAAAGTTATTGAGAATATGAATCAACGTACGTAGTCTTCCCCTAAGTGTTTATTTTTAGCTTTTTTTTTAACTGTGATCTTTTTCTGTTGAGGTAGACAAGTGTAGCTTTTCACCTTCACCCTGACTGGAGTCCTAAAGCAGCCTTTGTTGTTGGCAGGGTGGGCCCTGCTGGTATCCATCCTGACGCTAGCCACCCTGACGTGCATCCAGTGTGCTTTCTTGAAAAAGTGGCTGCCACACAGAAGAGGGCCCAAGGGCCGGCCATTTCTATCCATAGTGCAGTGGCTTGTCTGGCAACAAGTTACTTCTTTTGTTTCCCAAAAAACAATACATTCCTTTAATCCCCCACGTGCCCCAGGCTTGCCTGTAATCCCAGCACTTGGCTGCTTTGGGCCACATGAAACATCTGGACAGCCAATAGCTCTGCCAAGAAGCACACAGTGCTGCCTGGCAGGGCAAGTGATCTGCTCAATGGGGCGACCTTTCATTCTTCCTATATGTAACTTCAGAATTGGATCACTCTGGCTTTAAATTTGCACCAACTCTGAAAGGCACCAACAGAACAGCTTACTTCAGTTAAGAGCTGGTAATACAGACTTTTGTGTTGAATTTCAGTAATTTGGCTTTCACTACTCGACTTATTTCACATTTTCTCCTTATGTACTCAAAATTCTCATTTGGGAAGGAAACTTCTTAAGGGTTTTAGATAACGACTCAATTGTAAACTGGATTTTTAAGATTTCTGAAATTTTGTTCAAGCAAGACATGGAAGAATCTTAAGTTATACAAAAATTTTTATGAGAAAATTTAAAAGTAATGCAGTGATGACGGTGTTTCACAGTCCACTAGAATCAAGGTGCTCCTGCCCACTGGCAGCCCGCTGTCTTGGGTCTCCTTCATGTGCATGTTTACTTTGTCACTAAAAACAATGCTGGATTTACCAAGAAAGATAAGATACAATAGTGAAAATTCAGAGATCAAGTTTATAGGAACTGTGCATTCAAATTTCAAAAGCTGCGCTTATGGTGGATTACAGATGGTAATAAACTTGCCAAAAGGATATTAGGTTATAAATTATACTATACAATGTTTCAGGTAATGGTGTGATTTAAATGTCAGGCCTCTACAGCAGAACCCTTTGTCACCTTTCTCACCTAAATCGGTTACAAACAAAAGGCAATTTTTAAGCAATTAAAAACAGTCCGTTCCTGTTTCCATGCTTCATTACCAGACTTCTTTATATACTTTGAAAACATTTTAGCTGATGTAATCACACAGAATTTAATAAAGTTTAGATCAAATAAACCTGTATCACCATGTAATGAATTGGTTTTAAGTAGGTATAACTTAGGTTTATATGTTTGATCAGTTTTTTAAAAAAAATGCTTTTTAGACTTCAAGTAGTCTGACTTTTTTTCTATACAGCTTTATTTGTATAAACAGGATGATCCCTAACCCTGTAGCAATGTGGCCTCACTAAGCTGATATTTCATCTAAAGAGAAAAATCCAAGTATAACAGAATTAAATAGTCTGTTATCTTTTCAGATGTACCTTTTAAAGTCCATTAAGAACATTCAACACACCACTCTAACCCACAAAAAATAAAGTGCTCAGCTTCTGTTGTGATCTTAGAAGAGCTATGTGTAAAAGAAATCAAATCTAAAAATAAACTTGCTCAATAAAAAGTAAAAAAAAAAGCAAAACAACATACTTGATAAACAGATGAAAGAGAAAAAACCTCTCAAATTAGTTTGCTCTTTACCTTTTATTTTTATTTTTTTTTTGCGGAACCGGGGATTGAACTCAGGGCCTTGCGCTTGCCAGGGAAGCGCTTATTCCACTGAGCCATCTCCCCGGCCCCTGCTCTTTACTTGAAGTAATAAACTATTTAGGAGAGAAAAATATTTGCTATAAGCCCCAGTGCCTTGAACTTTCCTGGAGAATAGCATTTAAAAAGCAAGCAGCAAACTTTGAGGTGCTAATGAAAACAAGTTTGGGCAGAAATAGGAAAATGATGATCTTACAAAAGGTGATTATCTACCTAAATGGGGTCTGGCTATTTCCTACCAAAGATGTTTAGAGACGTGAATCAAGGCAGGTGATGACTATACTGATACAACAGGTGAGTTCAAATGCGTATTGGTCTTGGGTGGCTATTAATACCAAACACGATTCTTGTTTTCAACCATTTTAGGCAGGAAAACATGTCTGCACACTCCAAAGGGGAACACTTCAAAAACTGTTCATTAAATCTATTACAATCTACCTGATACCAAATACTGCCCATTTTTCATGATCCATCACCTCCTAAATATTTGTAAATAATCTCTCCTAGAAAATAATTAACTGGAATGTTTCAAATGAATTTTGCTGAATTTTATTATCAGCTATTAGTGAACTGTTCTTATAGAGATGTTTAAGGTAAAATACTAGTTGTTGCTAAGTGTTGTAAGACTATTGTTTACTATTTTAAAGGAAAATTGCACATTATATTTAATTGGGATTATTCCCTCCCTTTCCTTTTTTTAAAAAAGGGTGGGTGTCAAGGTTCACTTCTAGGTTGTGGAAACTTTGCCATAAATAGATACAGTGTAGAAATATACTTTTTTAAAGCATGGGAAAGATGACAAAAGGAACTACATTATAAAGTATCAGATAGAGGATATTATTCAGAGGATTATGCACAGCTGTAAAGATAAGATTGTTCTTCCTTTTAGCTTTGTTGCTTCTTGTTCTGCTTAAATGTATGTTCATTTCATTATGTGCCTTGCTCCCGGATTTTGCAAAGCTATATATATAATACATATATCACAAATATATATATATAATACATATATATATATATATATATATATATATATATATGAGAAAGAGATATATTCAGTACTACTGATGGTGTTTTTGTTCTACTGCTGGGTTAAGTTATTTGCCAACTTATTCTTACCAGTTTTTGTCAGTAAACTATTATAATGGGTTAGAGCAGCAGTCATATACTCAGTATAAATTTGTTTTTCCAGTTACATTTTCATTATGCCAGCCTGCCCAGTCCCAAATTTAAAAACAAAAACATTTCAGCAGGCATTTTGTCAGTGGGCACCACTAAGAACCTGGTCTTACTTTTTATTTTTGGGTACCAAAAATATGCTATTTGGTAGGAACAAATTAAGTGTAAAGATAAACTATGGTTTGATGCATTCAATTTGTTAACTTTACGAATAATCTGTAACAGACTGAGGAGCTTTGGCCATTAAATACATTTTAAAAAGTTAATAGCTTTTTAAGACCTTTTTTTTAAAAAAAAACTTAAAGTACAACCAAGTACAAACAGGGATATTTTGTGTTTGGAAGCTTTGGAATTACTATTTTATATTGGGCTCCTGTGTCATGGTGTATACACGTGTGCTTTTGTGTTTACAATCACTTTACCACCACCATTTACCAAAGAAGGACAAAAGCGTGGGCATGCTACCACCGCCTACTCACCAACCATCAGTCACACTGATCGTGCAAACTGCCCTCCTTGCACTTTGGTTTTGGAGGAAGAATGTACACAGACAAGACAGTGAAACAAATGGTATACCAGCCACTCAGTGTTTCAACCAAATGTTAACTCCACAGAAACCAAGAAAGAATCAAGTAATAGGATGTGTAATGGAAGACAGGACAATAGACATCTTTGGAGACCAGACTCTGCTCATTCCAGAAAGTTCCTCCTCATGAATCAGGAAAAAACCATCTCTCAAAAACATTCTTTTAATCCCATGCCAGTCCCGCCCCCAGGGCGCACTGAGATGGTGTAGCGGTGAGACGAGGTGCCATGCACCTATAATCCCAGCACTTGGAAATCTACACAGTGAGACCCTGTAGACCCTGTATGCCCTGTCCTAAATACAGGGGGGAAAAAATCCTTTAAAATGTAAATGCCTTAATGAGGCACTCTATACATTTCTACTTCCTGTTCCACGTTATATAATGGCATGGGAAAAGTCTAAGGCATAAATGAAAACCAGCGCCCTAGTTTTCAGCAATAGGAAAGTCGGGCTATCTTCAACACTTAGATACTACCTTAGAGTGTTACCTATATAAATTCACAAGACATTGAAATATGCTTTGTGTGATTTTATTTAGATCAAGTTCTTAGTACACAGCAATAATTCCAAATAGAATTAAAAAGTAGATGTTCCCCCACTTGTCTGGAGGTGATTTAATGGCACACACAAACATGACTGGCATCAGACTGCTCCCCTCAAGTTTCCTGAATGTTTTTTACTCAATATCACCAACTCTCCCTCTGGGAGTGGAAAAATACAACCGGTCAGATCGCAAATTGTTTACATTTTTGTAAACCATTTTCTTCAGAAAAAAAGATACATGGACACAAATATGATAAAAACTGCTTTTCCATAGAATTCTTAAGTTGCAAAAGAGGTTTCATTTTAATGTGAAAATAAGCTTTTTGTTCTTTACAAAAAACCTTAAGGTATTTAGGAAGGATCATTTATACACAGCTAGGCCCTGTCATTTCATTCATCATTTAATACAGGTTCTCAAAACAAGGATCAGCATAAACTAAAAGATGAGCTCAATAGCCTCCATGTAATAACTTTTCTTTATAAGGCTTTCTTAGATAAGGCTGTTTACTCCGCTGTGCCACCAGTGCTGAAACAATGGCAATGCATTCTTCTATACCTTTATGAGGAGTGTTCATGTGGCGTGCAGTCTTAAAGAGGGGTAAATGAAGATTATTTGCACTAATTAAGGTTACATTTAATATACTCTTTTAGTCTGAATACTCTAAGGGTTACTTATCAAACCATGGCATCTCTTTTCAAGTATATTCTTTAAAATATCAAGAAAAATTAATTTTTAAAGAAAATATAGCACATTTAATTAAGACAGTTGTGGTGCAATAGAAACAGCACTGAATCAGGAACTCTATTAACTAAATGTTCATCTGAAACAAAGCATCTAACCTCATCTGTCAAATGATACTAAACCAAAAATCTTAAAAGCTCATCTAGCTCTAAAGTTCTATGTGTCTACCTAAGTCACATGTGGGGGAAATTATCACCCTAACAACCAGGAGCCAAAGAAGTTCAAAAGTAAATAGGATCCCCTTCTTTAAAGACTTGGCAGTCACCTGCCAATTTCTCCATCAAACTTTTTTCAGAGGTAAATTAGGTGGCCTTCAAAATGTAACATGTTTTCTCCTCAAGAATAGCAATTAATGCAGAAAGGTCACGTGCTAAAACAGCAAAAAGATAAAGGCAAATGACCAATGTTTTTATGCCTCCCAAAGAGAAAAATCTTATTCTTCAACATCATAAAACTACAAGGAGCACAGCTATGTTACAGGTTTCACTGCTAAGATGCATAAAACGTTTTCTCTACCTGGGCAATGAACAGTAGCAGTACCAGGAAGAAAAGGGATGAAAGGGTCAAACCTACTGAGTAGGAACACAAATTAGCAGTCTCTTTCTACCCCCAAGATGGAAGTAGCAGGTACCTCTGAGGAAGATAATAAAAAAGGAAGTGGCCAAAAGATGGAAAATACAGAAGAGAGATTTTCAAACATTTGTATTTATTTTAAACAGTATGCTGAATCTCTCAGATCTAGATTTTTGAAACACTGGCAGTGTTTTTGTTTCCAATTTATAACCTTGTCCATGTCAAACAAACTTTCAAATATTAATACCCAATAAGTTTTCAAATATTAATACTCAAAAGGAATATTTACTCCACTTTTTTAGGGGAAAAAGAGTGGCCACAGTGAGAAACTTGCAGAAGAAAGAACAGCCTCATTAAATTCCCTCTATCCTAGTAAAATAGGGACTTTAAGGGTCAGCAGACTTTAGTTTCAGATCATCTTTGCTACAATATTAACATATCTTTGTAGCATCTAAGATCTGAATTCATTTGAAATTCCTAATACCTTCTTTTAGTTTACAAGAAGATAAATGGGAGAAACTTACAATAAAACAGGAAATAACTACCCTCACAGACTATTAGTAGCATGCAATCTAAGTGATATTACATACATTAAAGTCTCCAATTATGGTAGGCCTGGCTCACAGTTATAGTATCCTTCAGAGACAATCTATAGATTTCAAAACTGTACAAAAATTTAAAATATGCCCCCCCAAAGTTACACACATTAGTACTAAATAATATAGAAAAAAATCAGCTGACTAATGGGTTCCCCACTGTAGTCTTCAGCACTGAGGGCTTCACCAGTGTCTTCCATGCACCTGGAGTCAGCAAGGGTCCAGTAGGTAAGGTGCATGCATGGGGAGGCCACCAGCTGTACTTTCCACCGCTGTTGCTGCTCTGGCAGTGGTGAACTACTGGATTTTGAAGACCCTCTGCCTATTAATCCATTACACTTTCTCAATAAAAAGCTACCCAAATCACTAAAACTACTCATTTCAAACGTCTTCCTACTTGTGCACCAGTACTAAGAAGATTTTTAACCTACCCAAGTATAGTCTTGTTTAGGTTAATGGAGTTAAAGGCTCAGAGAACATTTTAAGCGCCATTATCTAAAAGCAAACCTGCCAAGTTGTAAAGGGTTTTGTTTTGTTTTACCTACAAATTAAAACAAAAGTCTTGATAAGCAGTATAGTTGGGTCTCAGTTAAAGGGTGAAGTTTTATGCTTTGATAACAGATCCACAAGTGGAATACGAACTGCCTATGCCATCTGTATTTCTTCAAACACTACTACACACATTCCTTTTCCAACCAACTTTACCTATGCTACCATAATGCTCTCGGCCTCCATTTGAAACATATGCAGCTACTGCCTCTCCCATCACCAGGGGAGGTTGCCTAGTGATACTATCTGGCCACCACTGGAAGAAGCCACACTGGCAGTTCTGGCCCACCATCATCGTATTCACCTACTGAACACCTATCATCTCCTGCATGTTTTCCAGTATTTACTATTATTGATTACAAAGGTGATGATTAAAGCCACTAGGCATACAAATTCCACTGAGCTGAAGATGTCGTATACAGAGGGGATGCTTACTCTTTCTCTGAAAGTTCTTTTGTAACTAGGTAAGTATTTTAGCATATTAATCTTATTCCACAATAGTCTTATTTGAGAAATAAGGTTCAAGTTCTTACTAAGAGCTACTGAAGAGTTCAGTCACACAAAATCAGGCGAGTATTTACCTTTTCTAGAGCTCAGTGGGGGATGAGTCAGCAGCACTTACACTGGCCCTTAGTAACATTCAGAGAGCACATTAGCAGCTTTGTAATCCCAGTGACTGTCAAAAGAGACTTAAAAATAACTGCTATTCTTTTAAAACAAAAACTAGTGTTTTTTTCTAAAAAGCAAAAGGAGTAATAGTTGGTCTGCCCTCCAAGAGCTACTCCCTGAAGCAGAACTGAAGGCAAGGATTGAGCAGGCCTGCTGAGGGGCATATTCCTGGCTTACTCCCTCAGAGCCTCAGGCCCTTCATGTCTAGCTTCATGCACTAATGCAGCACACAAGCCAGCCTACCATACATTTCACAGTTGGTCCAATGTCAGTCAGTGCCAATGCCGTCTCATGCAGCAGCACATCAAAATCAAGCTGTGACCGTTGTTAACCACCCTCAGAATGTTTGGAGACTTACATGTCATCATTCTATATCTACAAACAGAAACATGATCAAATGCAAGCAATTTCAGCATTAACTCATCTGGCACACTCAAGTACTGAGAAAATGCAGAATTTACAGTGTTAAAGAGGAAAAAAGCCATCTGAAACAATTGTAAAAATAGTTAGGTATGGTATTTAAATACCTCTTCGTACAAGTGGAAGAAAGTGAGGGGCTAGGCTACCCACTGGGCCATGAGGTTAACCCCTTAGCACAGGCAGTTGAGAAGGTTCACTGCCAGATTTTGCAGGAAGGGAAATCCCAAGGGTGTACAGTATTCCTGAGAAAGATCCTGGACATTTTCCTGGATCAGTCTTAATCTTACTTATTTTAGCTACATACTTATGTTGTTATACCTTTGACATATTCAGAAATGGTCACTTTATTTCAATCCAGACAGCTCAGCATAGTACAAATGATGACAGAAAGATCCATTTGTTCAGACTTGGCTTGCTTTTTTGTTTTTGTTTTAATACTGGAGAATAAATCAAAAGAACAAAGTAAGTAGTTTTTATCATTTGTATCCTTCATTCTACTTCACTGAAGGGAAATCCCCAGGGCCTTCAGATAGTATGGGAAGACCTGTTTCTGTGAGGAAAGTGCAGCCCTGCTGAGCTTTATTCAGAATAATGCATGATAGATTCAACGTAATTCCCAGGAAACAGCCCAGTCACTCCATTCATAACTCCTTCATACCAACCATCGTCATTCTTCTTGATGACATAAATAATGGCTCCTTCCTGAAAGGACAGCTCATCTTCCTTGTCTTTTGTATAATCATAAATTGCCACAACTAGAGAGAAGAAAAAAAAAAAAGGACATGAAGGGGAATACTATTTGTAGAAAGAGAACCAAACATGCACTCAAAGCAACTTCAATGTATTTTTTTTCTAATAACCAGTCCCATACAATGGAATTGCATTTTCTATAAAAATTTGATTCTAAAGTGACTGCAAATAAGGAGAAAGACCTCCACCACAAACTTACCCTTCAACAGTCTATAGGGAGAAAAAAAAAGGGGCTGGGGAGATGGCTTGCCAAGCACTTCCCTGGCAAGCACAAGGGCCTGAGTTCAATCCCTGGTTCCACCAGGCAAAAAAAAAAAGTCTATAGGGAGGGAAGTCACATACCAAAGAGACATTTGAGCTTGTGATTAAGCACCACGTTGTGTAAAAATGTGTATTTTTAAACATTAAAAATATACTAGTACAGCAAGATCCATTTGTAAGAGGCAAACAAAAAAATGAGACAGACTAGGGAAATGGCCAATATAGGTCTCCTTTCTGTAGTCTAATCTCCACAGTTTATACATGAATACTGGAAGCCCATGACATATACTTCTTTTTCCATGACATACATACTTTCAAATACACACTGCACTATGCCATAACTTAACAGGTTCACAATAAGAAGAAATACTTATTGGCTAAAAGTTGTAAGCGAATAAGACACATGTAAGCTTGCCTATCATTTTTATTGTTCAAGTCACTGTGAAGAAAGTATACAGGATGCTTCAACAAAGAGAAAGTTGGTAGAAATGCAAAGTTTTAAAATTCTAATTCATCCATTTTATTCTTTAAAATGAAATTGAATTAGTATTCATATTAAAGATCATTCCTGAGACTCAAATGTGTATAGTGGTATAGTTACCAAAATCAGTCATTATTTTTGAATTTTTTTTCCTATTAAAAAACTGCTTTTAAAAATGGTTTTTTCCAGGTATGACAGTAGATGCCTGTAATTCTCACTCAGGCGGCTGAGGCAGGAGTAACGTAAGTTTGAAGCCAGCATGGCAACTTAGTTTGAGACCCTGTCTCAACCTTAGAAGAATAAAAATAAAAAAATTTATGTGGGTTCAATCCCTCCAGGGAAAGCTGCACTTCATTTACTTCTTCACTATGAAGCTATTCATCGAAAGGAAAGTAGACTTTAGTGCAAAAGACTTTCATCAAAATAACTCTATAGATACACATACTAAATTTACACAAAAGATATATATTAAACATATACATCAATATTCAAAATACTGATGTGATATTAAGAAATGTAAAATCTGTCTAGACTTTAGTCTTGAAAAAGTGTTTTGGCAGCAGTACAGAAAGGCTAACAAATATTTTTCAATTATGCACATTATCACATTAGAAATTTAAAAAGCAATCTAGTTTCCATGTGCTTATCACTGAAACAGAAGGACTAATGGTGCCTGCACTGTTTAACCTCAATGTTTCTGCTAATGTGAAAATACATTTTAAATTTCAAAGTGCACTGTTCAAATCTAATGGACACAGCACCTGCCTGGCAAGCAAGAGGCCCTGAGTTCAATTCTCCATATCCACAATAAAACAACAACAAAAAAAATTTAAGCATTTCAATGAAAGCCATTCTCAAACTATTTTATGAAGATGTGAGCAAAACTTTAATTCCTCCTGCCCCTTTCTGGAAGGGATCCTCAGGGCTTGGGGTGCTGTGGGGAAGGCTGGAGCTCTGTGCTTAGGTGTTAGGATTTTTTTTTTTTTCCCAAAAATTTGCTAAGTAGTGGGAAATTTTAAAGTAGATTAAGAATGAAAATTACTCCAGTGACTAATCCGACTCTTTAGGAAGTCAGATTAACTAGCTCCCATTCCTTTGTTTTTATCAAAATTTAAAGTACTAAATGGAGTTATAAGATGATATATCATAAAACACAGATTTTAAGTCTGGGGAGATAGCTCCGTGGTCTAAAGCGCCTGCCTGGCAAGCGCAAAGCCCTAGGTTTGATCCTCGGTACCACATGCCATGCCGGCCCCGCGCCAAGCCAGACATCAGAACCAGGCATGGTGGTGCATGCCTGTAATCCTAGCACTGGGGAAACTAAGACAGGTGGATCACTACGCGTTTGCGTGGTGTAGTGAGACCCTGTACCAAATAAATAAATAGTTAAAAATAATAAATAAAGCATTTTATTTTTGAGAACATTTGGCAAGTAACTCTGAAGCAGCCCAGATGGATGACACTGCCACGTGGAGAGCCCTTCTGTTTACATCTGTGCATTCTGTGAACAGTTTTCAGTGCCACTGCCTCAGCTGAGGCCCTGCTACTTGCTTTGAAAAGTAACCAATATGGTCTTGCCAGCTCCCACTTTCCCTCCTTTCCAGTGCACTCTACAGTTTCCATGTGTCTCCAAAAAGAGAAAGATGAATGAATGGATGAGAAAAAACCAATGAGGGAGGAAGAGAGGGGGACATTAAGTCCACAGGATCTTTAATCTACTTCCAGCTGGAAGGGCTTGCTGCTTCTCTCTTCTCTGTGTGAACTTCTACTCAACATTTAAGGCACATCACAAAGACCATATCTTTGAAAAGCTTCCTAGGAATCCCCAGACAGAATCATAGAACTTAGTTTTACAAAAACAAAGATTAGAAGACAAGGGGTTGTCTTGTGAGGTCAGAAATGGTATCTGACAGTCACCACATATCATTCATGCTTCTGGTAAAAGTTCTCACTGAGCAGGAAGCATACATTAACAGATAGCTTGACATTCAAGGGATGGACAAAACATGGGCACCGACAAATTCAGTAGAAATATGCAGAAGAATCTCACCCATTAGTGACATGCATGTGATTCTGTTGACTCCTAGAGCTGAAGTTTAGCAGAATGTTCAGGAGTATAGGCTTCAGAGTTCAGATCCCAGCTCTAACATAAGCTTACAAACTAACTTTCCTAAACTCTTTATTCAACTGTGTGATACAAATGATAACTGTAACATTTGCTACCTCAAAGCACTTTTTATTAAATGTGGGAATCCACATAAAATAACACACCACAAGGCCTTATCCATGGGTAAATATTCCATATAAATATATTAGCTTCTATCATTCCTAGCACACAAATGGAACACTTTATATATTCTAGTGAATCTTGCACTACTGGCAGTTAAATCAAAGACTAAGACAACCTCCTATGATTCCTTTTTTTTTCCTTTCCTTTCCTACCTCCCTCCCTTCTTCCCTTCTCTCTCTCCCATCCCCTCCCTTCCCTTCTTCTCCCTCTCTCCCCCCTCCCTTCTTTTTCTTTCTCTTTCATCACTATGTAGTTCAGGCTAAACTTAAGCTCACTATGTAACCCAGGCTAACCTCAAACTCATGACAATCCTGCCTCAGCCTCTGAAATGCTGGGATTATAGGTGTGTGTCACCACATTCCCTTGTTTTGATTTGCTTTTGCAGAACTACATTGAACCCAGAGTCTTAAGGCATGAGTCCACCCTGGACAAAGTCTATTTTTAATCTTCAGAAATTTTGTGTTTGTTATCTGTCATTCTTAACAAATATATTCCACTTTACGCTCATGTTTCTGTTTTTCAACCTTCTTGAGCATATGCAGTGTTGATAAAAGTTATACAACATACAAAATCTTTGATTTCCTTCTCTGGGGTCAGAGTCAGGCATTGCCTATTATTCAGTATCAAATAAACATCATTTCTTGTATTAAGAAGAAAGGGTAAAGCTTATTACTATTACTCTACGTTGGCCCAAAGTACAGCCTGCTGTTTATTAATAAAAGCTCACAGGTGCTGTTAATATGCAGCCATTTTGGGGATGCAATGCATTAGTATTTTGCTTTCCTTACCATGAAATTTGCTTCCAAATAGCACACCTCTTCCTTCTAAGCTCACTGGTCTTGATGAGACTGAGAAGGCTGCATCCCCAGGGACCTACATCATGGTTAGCAAAGGTACCCAGAGAACCTTTTCACTGAAAGAGTGGCCCAATATTACTATGCAAAGAAACTGAGAAGCCACTGGTCCTTCCTCTTCTCCAAGTTTCCTATGGAGATGCTTAGACTAAAATGTCGGCTGTATAACAACTCAAAATACTGCTCTAAAATAAAGGAACAGGAGTAACAATCAGTTTAGGAAAATGATCCTGATCCCAACTCTTGGGAGGATATAAACAGGTGGATCACTATGAGTCTGATCTAGTAGTGAGACCCTGAACACCCTGTAAACCCTTCCCTAAAATTAAAAAAAAAAAAAAGAAAAATTATCCTCTTCCTGATGTATTCTGAAGGAAATAACGCTCTCATGATTTTTATTTTATAAAAACCATCTATAAAACGGTGTTCAACAGGAACAACAGACAACCACTAATTTAAAAATTTTAAAAACATCACTTTCAAAATCATGAACATTACAAACTAAATCACTAAAACTGAAGTGATAGTATAAATAAAACTTTACTTAACATAAGAAATAAACAAGATTTTCTTCAGCACCAGCAATCTCAGTTCACCATAGCCCCATCCCTTCTGAGAGCCTTCTAAAACTTACCCTTTTCCAAGTAGGCCCTGGGTGCCCAAGGAGGGTCCTCCTCAGCATAGGGGTCACTGTACTCAACCACAGCAGCCTCCTCCTCCTCGTAATCCTCAGGAGGAGGGGGCGGGGGCGGGGACTCATCAAAGACCGGCTCCTCCACAGGGGGTGGCGGCGGCGGGGTATCTGAAACTGAGAAGGTTCCATGCCAAGCTGAGGACAGCACTACATGCTGTGCACAGCTCAGCACTTCCTATGTTTCCAGATTCATTAAATATAAGCCTAAATCTGAAAATAATAATCTCTCAAAATAGAGTTGGCAAGGAAAGTTTTCCCACTGATATGTTCTAAATTTCCAGGCATGCCCTTCTCTCCCTTTGTTAGACTAACCAGTGCTCAATGTAGTTTAGTCTAAATAATTACTATCATTTGGCCGCTGGAGCCAAATACTAACATGTACACCTTTTCAAGTAAATTGATATAATATAGTTTGGCTTTCCAGCACATTCAAGGAGAAGGTTTCAGGAATATTAATAATTTGGACATTTATATGCACATAATGAATCCAGGGAATAGTCACATCTTAATAATCTTTTTTTTAAATAACATTTTACCAATCTTAGGAAGAAAAATCACAAGCCAACTTTGGGTAACTTCCATAGCTTTCATAGAGATGTTCTGTTTATAAAATTTCAACTAATTCATGATTCATAATTTCTTCTGGCCAAATGTCCAGTGTACTCTTGGACAAATTAAGACACCCCCCGTGTTTCCTACCAAGATCTGCTATCACGGCTCAGGCATCTGCACACTGTAACATCTAAAAGCTGATCTCCCAACTCAGAGGGCACAGCACTTCCCAAGTGCCTGGTATACACTCAGTGCCCCGCAATACAAATAGCCCCCTGTGTGTCATCACTGCCAGGGTTCTCAGCAGACTGTGCCCATGACATTCTCTGTGCAGTCCTATTTCTTAACTAAGCTCACTGACTGGATCAAGTGGACTTTAAAGATTGCTGATTCCATATTAACAACAAAGTCCAATTTTAGTATTCTTCCTCTGATCCTATTATTTGTACTGGGGCAGGTTGTTGTTTTGCAGTACTGAGGATTAAATCCCAGGCCTCACACATGCCAGGCAAGCGTGTGTGGTTGTATCCCCAGTCCCACCAATACACACACTTTTTGAGGCAGAGTCTCACCAAGTTGCCCCAGCTGGCCTCAAATTTGCAATCCTCCTACCTCAGCTTCCAAGTAAAGGAGAAAGCACCAGGAATTGAACTCATGTCCTTGAACATGGTAGGCAAGTGCCCTAACTAACCACTAAGCCACATCCCCAGCCCTTCCCCCTTTTTTTGAGGGAGGGTATCATTAACTCACCCAGACTAGCCTCAGCTTGCAATCCTGTCTCAGTCTCCCAAGTAATTGGAATTAGGGGCATCTACCAACATACTGGCTACCTACATGATTTTAATCTAACTTTATGAAAAATTATATATGAACAGAATTAAAAACAATATATCCAATTTGCATTTGTAAAGACACTGCCTTAACTATACAAAAACCCAAAGAAAACTTCAGAACAATAATCTTGAGAACTTATACTGAAACATTACTCATAGATGTTATCACTGATCATTTTCACTCGACTTTTAACTGCCTTAGAGTCAGTCTAGTAAGACTACCAAAAGCTACCTTAAGATGTTGCAATTTCGTTAACTTAAAATTTTCCAATTACTCAGCTAGCACTATCATTTCATTTAATCTATTTTAGGAGGTGGTGTTTTTAATTGTATTCATTGTAGAAATGGGCTCTCCAGTTGTTTTTAGAGCTATATTTTGGAGATCACAATGCTGAGTGAATACATCATATGAGAAGGCTAAATACCACACAGTTTATTTTACATAAGAAATTCAAAATATAAACAAGTTTAAAGAGAAAAATGAGAGAGTGGAAGGTGGGAAACAGGCTCAGACTCTGGAGATGAGAAGGGTAACTGAAGAAGGGGTGAGAAGTGAGAGGAGGGCATGTGTCGTGTGCGCGTACCCTTCCCAGGATGAATGTGATCCACGTGGGTTGTGAACATGGGCCAGCAACAGAGATAAGGCTCTGCTATTGTGAGCCGAGGCAATACAGTAACTCTGAAGATAGGCTTCACTGTCATTCACTCAGTGAACACCAAATGGCTATTGTCCTAGCACTGTTCATCCTGAGAAAGGAGTAGAGGGAAAAGTGACAGATGGAGAGCAAGCTTTCAAGTGTGATTAAGGGTAACAAGGAGACCTTGAGAACAGGTGCACAGGTCAGGCGGCTTCCTGAGACCGAGGATGAGTGAGTGCTCACAGCCGTAGGAGCACAGCATAGGCAAGCATTTCATGTCAGATTGAGGGAACAAAAAGAACGAAGGTAGGAAAGCAGAAAACCTTCGAAGAATTGTCCAAAGTTTAACAGAAAGACATGAGGAAATGAAGAGGAAGCAAGAGAGAAGAGATGCATTTTGAAAGATCATAACTGAATTTCTTAGCTCAGTTTAACTGGTATACTATAATTGTTCTTTTTTTTTTTTATGTATTTAGTACCAGGCCTACAGGGTCTCACTACATGTATCGGACTTATAGCGATCCTCCTGTTTTCAGCCTCCCAAGTGCTGGGATTACAGGCGTGTGCCACCACGCCCAGTCTCAATCACTGTCTCATCACACCCCGGGGCGGGGCCAGCACGCCTGCTGGGGATCAAACTCTGGTCCCTGAACCTTTTAGTCCACTGAGCTATCTGGCCAGCCCTTTAGTACACTATAACTGGTTCCAAACAATCCCATACTTCTTCCAAACATTAAACATAATGCAGAGTAAGTATTTGCTACCACAGAATATCTTCAAAATAATATGTGTAGGTCAGGCATGGTGGTATACATGTGTAATCCTAGTACCCTGTGAGGCTGGAACAGGAGGATCAAAAGGTAAAGCCCATAGCAATTTAGTGACACTGAGCTGCAGACTGACTCGGTGTTGTAAGCATGAGAGGATGGGGAGTATCCCAAAGGATAGTAAGGTGTGACAGGGTGACTGAATTAAGCACTGACTTATCAAAATATAGATAATATTTTATAGTATCTACTTAGGGCACTGAGTCTTGAACTGGTAACCATGTACGTCAGTAACGCCTTTAAATAGTACTTCAGGGCTATTTCTATAAACTGTAACTTTAACTTTTTTTTTTTCCTTGTACCAGGAACTCAGAACCATAAGCTTGCCAGGCAGGCCCTGTGCCACTGAGCTGTATCCCCAGCCCTAGTCTGCTATATAGATAACAGCCCAAATTTTAAACAAGAACCAGTTACACTATGGGCCACACTTCTGTGCAAAAGCCTGGTAGTGTCACACCATGGCTATGCTAGGCATCAGCTGCACTGGCTGACCCTTTTGGACATGGCATACCTGAGCCGGTGAGGGCCACACACAAGCTAGAGGGAAATCAGGCTCCATGGCATAATTTAAACACACAGAACCTACTGATCATAAGAAAGCAGATAATTAATTAATGCAGCTAAGAAACCAGGTGTGATGGCACACACATGTAATCCCAGCATTCAGGAGACTGAGACAGGAGGATTGCTTCAAGTTTGAGACCAGCGCAGGCTACAAAAGTGAGTACAAGGCCAACTTGAACTGCATAGCAAGAACCTGTCTCAATACATACATACATACATACATACATACATACATACATACATGCAGTTCTTAAAACATTTTAATAAACAGCAGAGTAATCATTACTAAAGTGAGTTAAAATAAACTTTTCAGAAGTCCACAAAAAGAATACAAAGACACCTGAAAGAAACACTGAGCCCTCAAGACAGTAAGACATGGTGGTGCACCCTATAGTCCAAGCACTTGAGAGGCTCAGGCAAGAGGAACACTGCGAGTTCAAGGCCAACCTGGGTTACACAGAGAGACCCTGTCTCAAACACACACACACACACACACACACACACACACACACACACACAGAGTAAGACTTGATTTTAAGCAGTGAAAGCTCAAACATCTTATTTTTTTAAATGTGTATCTGATGGGGGCATTTAGTTTGGTACAGAAGCACAGGGGTAGAGGTTGCTGCTTTCCATAATACACTTTCCTAGGATGTGGAGGACCACCTGAGCAGCTGTTCTTGAAAGAAGAGAAATTGTCTCCATTTTGGCTGAGCACCAGATCGCTAAACATTAAATGCTATCTCAATAGCATAATGCAAATTACTTTCTCTGCATATGGCAGAGATAAATGTAGGCCACCCACCTAGCTCAGCTCACAGTACTCACCTACTTCCCACAATTCTCAGTCATTCCTCCTCAAGCCATTCCTCCACTGAATAAAACCCGGGTGAGGCCCTGGATCAGCCTCTTTGTTACAGAAAGCCATCTTCATGGCTGGACTTAGGGCCCTCTGGCTCCCCAGTAATTACAAATTTGTTTTATTTGTCTTTTCTTTCGCCATGGGTTGCACTGGGAGTGGTAGATTGGAATTAATTCCAATAACATATCTTTGGAATTACAAAAATTAACTTCTTGGACCGAGAGGAGAACCCAGAGGGAATACCTACACTAGGAGATAGAGAAAAAGCCAGCCAAAAAAATGGCAAAGTCTCTGCTGTCACAGAATTTAGATTCCACTACTGGCAATGCCTACACCCAAAGGAGCCCGAACAACATACTACAAATATTTCTATCCCAGCCATGACACCTTCCTTGCTATGAGATGCATATGTTGAGCTACTTTGGCCTGAGGAATGAAATCTTAAATTAAGGTACAGCTGACCCATAACCCAGCCTCACAGCAATCAAAACTATGCAGATAGCTTTTGTCCACCTCCCCCCAGATTCATCTATAATAAACAGCCAATTATAAACAGGAAGTTTAACCAGTAACGGTCAACATGTATTCTTTGTATGTGGTGTGGTCAAAATATATGAATTTTCAAGTTTATTACAATAAAAAACATTGTCACTAATTCTCCGCAAAATACCCTCCTCACACATACACACTTAGAACATATTTGTTCCATTATTCTTGCCACTTTCTGAAACAGTTCTGGAGTCCTCTTTTGTGTCTTTACAGTGTATCATCAAAAGTACAGTGAGAAGACTGGGCATGGTGGCGCACACCTGTAATCCCAGCGCTTGGGAGGCTGAAAACAGGAGGATCGCTACAAGTCCGATCTATGTAGTGAGACCCTGTAGACCCTGTACTAAATACCAAAAAAAAGAAAAAAGAAAAACCCTGCAGTGAGTGCTACTGCGAGTGCCCTCCACTGAAAAGGCAGCTTGTAAAAACATCATGGTGATCCTTATCCACCTCCTTCGTTGGCTCTGGCCATGTAGGACTTGCAGTTCTCACTCAAAGTCAACAAGCTAAGCACTGTTAATTAATTCAGGATATTGAGGCAGCTATAACAACGAAGATATTCATAAAAAACGACTTCCAGAACTGCTTCAGAAAGCGGCAAGGATAATGGGATATGTGTTCAAGGGAGGATATATTCTTAGAATGATAAATGTACTGTGTCCTTTACCATAATAATTTCTACCGCATTTTCATATATTTGTATTTTTATTACAACTCATTTTATAAAAATTTTGAGAACCATGAGATCACTTTTTACTGTAATATATAATTCACTAGTGAACTAAAGTATTCATAGAAAGACAACCCAACACAAGGACTTAAGTGAACACTTTAAGAAACTTAAGCTCACAGCAGCAACAGGAAGCAATTATGACAAATTACAGATAATGCAGCATTACCAGAGTTACTGTTACACAGCTTAGTGTGTATCTTCATGCTTGTTCACATTTCTCCTAATAGCACATTGTGCTATGTGTGGTCTAGGAGTATTCTTATGTTGAAGTTTTAATAAATTTTAACTTTTTGTAAAAGCTTCATGTATATTTTATAAATGACAATAAAGACTATTAACTGCATGTATTTTGTATTCACGGTATAACTTTTTGAATTTTTAAAAATATTTCTGGGGGTTGGCCAAATAGCTCAGCAGATTAAAGCACCTGCAAGCAGGCACAGGGATCAGGGGTTCGATCCCCAGGCCTGCTGTGCCAGCCCTGCCCCCAGAGTGCACTGAGATGGCAACTGAGCCTGGGTGTGGTGGCACGTGCCTGTAATCCCAGCTTTTGGGAGGCTATAAACAGGCAGATTAGTACAAGTCCGATCTAGTAGTGAGACCCTGAATACCTTGTAGACCCTTCCCTTCTGGGACACATGACCAAAAATTGGATTAATTTAATTTTATAATATAACAGGAAATATAACAATAATAATTTTTATCAAAATCATTCAATACAACAATCAATTGGCTGAAATGACACCTGCCCAAGCAATGCTCAAGGAAAACGTACTGTCCAAGTGACATTCAGAGTAAACTATCAAGTGGTTAAAATTCTGGATGTGAGCAGTTCATGCCTGTGTTGTTCAAGGGTCAACTATAACCCCTCTGCTCAGATTCCATACTCATCATGTAACCCGAAGACTATGACACAGTCTCTCATGCAAACAGGTCACAAGAAGAGAATTTGTCCATTACATGAATTATGCTCCCTCACTTTTGTGACCACAGTTCCTCACTGCATGTTGACCCAGGACTCTGATCTAGAGATATCAGTGTGCCAAGAAAATCAGTTATCTGATTACACAGGGTTCAGCACCAGACTAGAAACCCAGACAAATTAACTGCCAATCTGCTAGGCCTGCGGGGACAAACTGGTAGGGCTGGTCCTCTGTGCCCTACCACACCATGGACTGGAGGGAAAGTGCCAGGTACCTACACTACTCCAAGATAGGACAGTGACAGAAAAATAGACCACTGGGGCTCTGGACAGCCCAACAGTAAAGGAGAGCTGCCTGGGGACTAGAGTTGATTTCCTCAGATGTGAGCATCAGTCTCGTACATGTTTTTACAGTTGCTCATATTTACAACTAGATGTTCCCCTCCCTTTTTGTTGTTGTTTATTTTTAGTATAAGGAATCAAACCCAGGGACTCGTGTTCACTAAGCATATGCTCTATTACTGAGCTACAACCTACCTAACAGATTTAAAACTATTTGAAAGGAGAAAATTTCATCTTAATGATCTTTCCCATTAGTCATTCATACACTGACTTATTCAAATATCTGAAATATCAGTGAGTGAATGACTTCAATCAATCATGTATCAATGACATTTTATGCCTATAAACTGATCTACAGCATAAAGAAGACACAAACTTACTATTTTCTTGGACTCTGGCCACAAATCCCATTAAAGGTAACTGAGGAGTTACCTGTAGGATGGAGGGAGGAGGAGGAGCAAGAGATACTGCAAAAACAAAAGGTGCGGAGGATGAAGGGTAAGGGCGAGTTACATTAAAGAGAGGATAATACAATAAAACGAACATGTAAAGGAGGAAAAAACACTTCACGAACATTTTATTAGCAAGAATATCTTTAAAATCCCATTTTGAGGGGTATTTCATTTACAAAATAAAATACAGTTCTGGGGAGGTTTAGTAAGTTTTTAAAAAGTACAACAGAAAAAAGTTATCACACACATAGCTACTCTAATGTGTGATGGCCACCTCTTTTCATATCGATTACAACATGCCTGCTCAAGGAAAGAATTTCGGCAGATTACCATAAAACAGTTTGGTTTTTTGAATTTTATCTCTGGGGTTACAAGTCAGTCAGTATAAAAGAAAAAGCATTACATCATAACATCTAAATTTGTACTTTTTATTACTTCAATAACTGGTAAATTTTTCCTTCACTTACATGGATATTAAATGACTTCCTACAAATGACAAGCACTCTGCTAGACCAGTAGCAAAACCTTTCACTGAGAGTCAGATGCTATTATTACAACTTTTTATGATTCCAACTCACTGGTATATTTCTTTCAGACCCTACCTTCAGAAAAATGTTGCCTCTTCCAATTATTCTACTCTTCTCCTTAGGCTGCTTCCCTCTATCTCAACCACCTTCCACAGCACCTAACAGAAGCCTTTCAACAAGTGGTTAGCCTATATATCTGCACAAATAAGCCAAATGTGACCAACTTTAGAAGACTAACTCCACAGTCACAGTTTCTGTCAGCATGGGTATATATTATGCTATGTGTCTTATCATAAAAACAGGATGTTTTGGGCCAGGGATAAAGCTCAGTGGCACAGCTCCTGCCTGGAAATTGCAAGGTCCTGATTCTGATTCCCAGTAGAAAAAAAAAAAAAAAAGACAGAAATTTTTATTAGTTCCAGATTACAATTAAGACTAACAAAATTTAAGAAATTAATATGTCACCTTCAAAAATCAGGAATAGAGAACAACCATCTTAACCCAACATGTATAGCACTTCCCTAGAGATGGTGCTGGCAGTAGTGAAGGAGGCCACATAGCAGTGTTCTCTGAGAAAGATAAACTGAAGGAACCAAGTGACAGCAAAGGCTTAGAAGAGCATGACAAGTTCTAAGGACCAGAAATCTTTACATGTGGTTACCCTAACATACCCTTTAAAAAAATAAACCAGAAGAATGAGCAGTTGGGCATGAAACAGTGAAGGGCCCTCTCTATATGTCAGGTGAAATGAAAGCAGGTTCAGGGAAAAGAGACTTTAAAAGTCATTTAGCTTCCAATCCCTGACCCAACATTTCCTTGTGTTTGGACAGCACATCAATTAAACTGTGTGGACCTAACCCATAAATTGTCATGAAAAATAAGTAACATTTCACAAAATGGTGACAATGAATATAGACAGCCTAACCCAGGACCTGGCATACAATAAATTAAGGCTGTTTCTAGAAAATGACAAAAATGGGAAAGAACTTGGTAATAATATAGGAAGCTAGTTGGTTAAGTAACAATTCAGATACTTGCCACTCATCACGTGAAGAAGCCATGAACTATGGTGGGTCAGGACTGGGAAAAGAACAAGCTGGTGAGAAGGCATGTCAGGGGGTGGCGATGCCATGAATGAGATGCATGAAGGTTAACTTAGCAGCAATAGGAGATGCTAGTGGGCAAAGCACTGCAGGTATTAAATGGTGCTAGCAGTCAGCAGCTGGAAGTGAACAGCTGATCCTGCAGAAGATGCAGGAGAACATGTACCAAGCACAGAAAAGAGGTAAACAGGTACTCATAGGTTGTTTGTTTCTCCTCCTTCATTTGCTTTACAGTGCTGAGAGTCAAACCAAGGGCCTCATGCAGGCCAGGGAAGTGCTCAACCAACAACCTACGTTCGCAGCTCAACCACAGAGTCTTAAAGAATACCTATGTATAACCCTAGGCATTGGTTCCTTTCTTGATAGGATTCCTTTAGTTAGGCTTTTCCCTAAGCCATGCTTCTTGGCCATAAAGCCTTGACTTGTGCATTTGTCTCCCATTCACAAATCTTAGAATAAAAGCTTGTACCTTCACCAAACTGCATTTCTCATTCTTGGAGTAAGCAAACAGTGAATAGAGAAGGCAGCCAAGACAGAAACAGCAGAAGCAGAGGTCAGAAGCATATCTACATCAAGATGAAATGCCCACCTTCTACCAGCACTCACTCTGACCTGCCCTGCAAGAGAAAACTAGGACATTTCCCTCTTTGTTGTTTCTCTACCAAATAAAAACATGATCATTGGTGCTTGAATCAATAAAGAATGCTTAGATGTTTAATTTACAGCAGTCTCTTTGTAAGTAGGCTAAGTTCCTAATTTAAAGAACATATCTTTTCTTTCTAAAAGTGAAACCATAGTGATTTTTATATGTCCACCAAAAGCCGCTAGAGTAAAACCAATCCCATATACTCCATAAACTTCAGTTTTGATTCCAACATGACTGACTAAAAGAGGATTCAAGGCCAAAGAGAAGCTCCAAAACCACAGTTACCCCACAGTAGAGATGATCTACTGCATCTGGATTAGAGCATGAGTTAGAATGATGGCACAGGCAGGTCAACTCTAGTACCTGGTCCTGGCCCCACCTTCGGCATAGTTTCCAAGAGAGCACTGTGTATAGCTGGAGAGTGGGAAGGAGCCAGGAGCCATGCAGAGACCTAGCTCCTGGATCTGAGACACACCAGCCCCTTTGCCACAGCCCACTAACCCAAACACCAGGAACACTGCATGCTTAGCTAGACTCAACAGCTCTCATCAAGGGCAGAGGAATCCCACACCCTCACCCTGGGCAGAAAGGGTAAATGGCAACTCAGTTGCAGTTTTCCACTTGTGAGTGCTGTCTTCCCCTGCAGATTCCACCAGCTCTCACCCAGGACAAGGGGATGCCACACATACTCTGAATACAGGAGGACAAATGGCAGCAAACAGGGACTCCAGACCCACAGGCATGCACTCCTGCCCCAGGGAATCCACTCCTGCTGAAGAACGGTTGGTTGAAGCTCCTGTAGGCTCCGCAGCCAGGTGTGAGCTCCTCCACAGATCCCCAGCAAGGACCCCAAAGAACACAAGTGTGCCGGGTGCTTTGCTCGCTTGTAAACGTGCCAGCAATGCCAGCATCACCCCACGGAGGGGCAGTTCCCAAGCCAGAAACAGGGACAGCATCAGACACTGCCTGCAAGCTGAAAGAATGAAGTCCCGAGGTTGGGTGGAAATCAGTCAAGGTAATCGTGGTGTGGCTGTGTCACAATCAGTGCAACTCTCCAACTAACAGACGTGTGATGAGCCAAGTTTCACACTTCCTTCCACATGGTTTTGATTTAGACTGACTGCCCCAATGGGTAGCTGGGACACCAGTACAATAATGCAAACAAAGGAGTTGATTTAGTAGACCAGAGGTCATTAAAGAAGATATTAAAGTAGTGTACAAACTGCAACTATTGTGGTACAGCAGTTGTAAATGCATAGTATACACATCAGCAGTGGGTTACATGTAAGATTTCCATGTTAACATTTAGAAAATTAATTACTCATAAGCTATTAACCTATGAACAGGTTATTGAGAGTCAGCAAAAAATGCAGGCAAGCAATGTAGAAAATGTCATCAAAAATTACCTGAAATAATGGATGCCACCACCGCCACAAAATAAAGCCAAAAACATTACGATGTTTTGTGGACTTCACAAATCAACTGCCTTTATGTATTAAACATTTTAAAGAAATTCACAAATATTAATAAATTTAATGAAATAAACCTACTGATTATATAACTTCCAATTGTTCATGAATATTAATATTTATGTTTAGACAGTAATTATTAAAATTTAAGCTATTAGACTTAGTCCATTTATAGACTTTATTAATTTTAATAGTAAAAAGACCAATAAAAGTGATTAAATCCATTTGTAAAACCAATGGTACAAGCCACCTGATGGGACAGTCATGTTCTGGCTGTGCAACTAGGAGTATCATGACTTACTCTGGTTCCCAAAGGCCCCAACAAAAAAGAAAACTACAGATCACTCTCCTTAATGAGCACAAATACAAAAACATCCCACAAAATACTAAGAAATAGAATGCAACACATCATCAAAAAAATCATACATCATGATCAAGTTGGTTTCATCCATGAGCTTCAGGATCATGTAACATATGCAAGTGAATAAATGTAATACACTACATAAACAGAAGCAAGACAAAAACCATATGATAAGATCAATAGATATGGTAAAGGCTTTCAACAAAATCCAACACCCCTTCATAATAAAACCCTAAACAGGCACAGAAGGACCATATATTAGTATGATAAAAGCTAATTTTGATAAACCAACCATCAGCATCAAATTAAATGGGAAAAAGTATCCATTCCATTATCTCCACTTCTATTCAACATAGTACTTGAAACATTAGCTGGAACAATCAAGCAAAAGAAATAAAAGAGCTATAGATGGGAAAAGAACTCCAGTTATGACATGATACTCTACATAGAAGACCCACAAAATTCAACCCAAGAAACCTCTTAGAATAACAATTTCAGTAATGCAGTAGGATACAAAATCACACAACAATCAATGAACTTAATGAGAAAGAAATCATGAAAACAATCCCACTCATACGAGCATCAAGAAAAATTCAATATGTAGAAATTAACCTAACCAAAGAAGTCAAAGACTTCTACAATGAAAACTACAGTATTCTGAAAAGGAGATGAAAGGAGGTATTAGAAAATGATTGGCTGTCCCCTACTCCTGGCCAGGCAAGACCAGCTTTGTCAAAATGGCCACACTCCCAAAAAGGATATACAAGACTGAATATAATTCCAATCAAAATACCAATAACATTCCTCACAGAGCTAGAGAAAATAAGCCTCAAATTATATGGAAACTGGGCCAGGAATATAACTCAGCAGCGTAAGCACCCACCTGGCAAGTGCAACATCCCAAGTTTG